GGAGACCGCCGATGATCACAAAGTCAAAAAGAGGCATCTGAGGCACCGCTTCCCGCCTGCTCCTGGGTCTGCTGGAGAGCCGCAGTGCCGCAAATTTGGCCTCAGACAGCGCAGCGGCCTTTGCAGCTACCATCGCCTCGAGCTCAGCCGACCTTGTAGCACCCGCTGGTGCTGGCGCAGCAGGCACTGTTTGAACTCCCGCTTCAGCTGGAACTCCCGATGAGGATGAAGCGGTGCGACCACCTCCTCCACCACCTGGAACTGGAATTGGGTCATCGGCCTTCCACTTCTTCTTCCTGTGTAAGGTTGCGCGCACCCGCGCCGCCTCAGCGACGAGCTTGCAGACCTCCTCAGCTTTCCCGTCGATGGACTGCTGCGTGGCTTGAAGCTCTTGGTGCACTTTCTTCCAAGTGTGACGCATCTCGGGCTCACAGTCTAAGTCATCAAGGTTATCAAGGAATTGCTCGTCGAGGACCGCCGCAATCGGCATTCCAGAATATGGGGCGCCCTTGGGCTTCGCCTGACCTTCTTGAACTGCAAGGCCATCAGCAGCTTGTTTGCGAAGCAGATCGGCGCGTGCCACTTCGCGTGCCAACCGAGACTCTTTCTCACAAGCTGCTGAAAGTTGTTTATCAAGTTTGGCTGCTGGTTGAACTGCTTGGGTATGCCATTCTTGGTACCCCATCCGCGCCACGACCGCTTTCTTAAACGAATCAACCACGTCACCCGTCGATGCTTGCTTCTGATGGATCTGATGAACCTGAGCTTCGGGCGTCGCCTTCAGGATGGGGTCCTGCGCCGCCGCCAAAGATCCCTTCAGCAACGGGATGACGGCCACGCCATCAGCACTAGCCCCCGCGCTCGCGGTAGAATTCTCATCACCAACAACGCCAGAATCGGTACTACCACCTGGAAGAGGAACATCGAGGTCCACTTTTCGTCTACACTTGTCGCATGTGTGGTCCCTGTCAAGAAGATTTTCGTTATACGCAGTCTGCCCATAGCATTTGCACGCAGTCCAATGGCGAACGGCCATCGCTGCGTGAACGATTCGCGTCCTTAACCAGCGCACGCGGCGAGAAAGCACGGGCACCGTTCCCTCGGTTGGCGTTCCCCCCGAACGCCTCGGGGCGGCACCGAGGGCCAGGGTGGTGCCAAGCTGGCTTGAGCCCGAGTGGCTTGAGCGATGCCGAAGGAGGGGGAGGAGGAGGAGGAGGAGGAGGAGGAGGAGGAGGAGGAGGAGGAGGAGGAGGAGAGGAGGAGGAGGAGGAGCAGGATCAGGAGGAGGAGGGGGCCCAGTGTAAACCCTAGGCGCGTGAACGATATTGCAATAAACCTTCTCTCCGAATTCCTTCTTCACAGCTCCCTACTATACTTCATTCTACTTTGCGGGAACTGTTCCATTGGACGGCAGCCGCTTGGTAACCCCCATATCGTGCGAAAGAACACCATACCGTGAAGTTCAACGCTGCGGATCAACGTGGTTGGCGCGTCCTGGCAATCCGAATCACGCCAGGAAACCATTCCTGGAACTTTAGCCCCGCGGGTCCTTGACACCGAAGCGAACGTTGAGAACGAATGCGCTCAGCACAGAGGCGAGAGCTACAGTTTGAAAAGGGGCCACTCTCCATCATCGAAATGATGCAATATTTTGAGACGCGGGTGCGCGGCGCTAAGGCGAGAACCGCAGTAATCTAACCGCCCGCCTTCATCCTTGAAACTGTTGTAGGTATTCAGGACGAATGTGCGCGGCGCGAAGGCCAAATCTACAGTCAGAAAACGGCCCGCCCCCCAGAAGGCTGCCGCAATCTTCGCGCCTCCTGGTCGTAATTGGTGAGGAAGTCTCACGCGAAACACCCAGCCCTCCATACCGATACGTTCGGGGGCACGACACGGAAACGCTACTTATAAGGAACAGGGATAAAGGAGGAGGGGGGGGGAGGAGGAGGAGGAGGAGGAGGAGGAAAAAGAGGAGGAGGAGGAGGAGGAGGAGTCTGGGCACGACTCCGCTTCTGCGGCGGCGCCCACTCGGCCAGCTGGCAGCTGGCGAACGGCGGGCCCTGGCGCGGAGTCTCAAACGGCTTCTAGGCCTTCTCATGTGTTGAAGGTGGGTGAAGGCTTATTTGGGTTCGTCAGATTGCCCTCCTCCCCCCTCTCCCCGCCCCGCGGCCGCTCCTCTTTCCCCCACCGCGCCTTTATGTGTCAACTCGCCTCCTCGCGTCCCGCTTGGGCTCTGACTGCTCCCTGCTGCCGCAGGCCCAGCGACAAGCAAGTGTTGAAGGTGGCTCTGTGGTGTTAAGGAGCGTTCTTCGTTACAGACCGTTTTTTTTGTCTTATCGGCCCAGGGCGGGACAGGTGCTCCCAGAGGGCAAGCCATTAGGAACGCTTCCGTCGTGTTAGGTTGGCTTCAGGATGCCTGTATGTCTGCGAGGGAGGAGGAGTCGCGAGACGTCGGGAGGGGCTGGGCGCAGGGGGCATGGTTAGGATCTAAATGCTTCAAACATGAAATACGGTAGTGGGTCTAAGAAGCTCAGGTTCGGGCTTGGGCTAAGGCTCGTGCGTGGGACAGGGCTCGGGTTCGGGCTCGAGCTTGGGCCTCGGGCTTGGGTTCGGGATCAAGCCGGGCGCGAGGCCAAGGAACACGAGGAGGAAAGACGTGGGATACGTTGGAGGTATCCCGAGGCCCCTAGAAGCCCCAAACATGGGCCAGACAACGCCCCAGCATCTCGATCTCCGATCCTCGATCGAGGAATGAAGAAAGCAGAAAGGTCGATCCTCCTTCCTCCTCTATCTTCGATCCTTGGGGAGGCGATGGAGCATACCCAGGCATGCGATACCTTGATTTGTCTTTGCGCGGTCCCCACAAGTCCCGACCCTTCCCCCATGGCCAGCTTTCCATCCCGAGTCGTTTTTGGCACCGCGTCCCAGTGAGGGCCCCCAGAGGCCCTCGCGTGGTTGCTGTCCGCGACGCGAGCATGTTTGGGCACGTCGTGGCCGCAGAACTTCCAGCACACGGGTTGTTTTGTGCCTGAACCCTCCTGCGCACTCCTCGTGGCGAGCATTCTCTACGCCCGAGGCTTCCTCCCGCGTTCCTCTGCGGACGCCCTTCTCTTCCCCTGGTCACTACTGTGCGCGCCTAGCCCGGCGGGGCCCGGCAGCTTTCCGAACGCGTTCGCGTGCGCCTTCGCCGCCGACCACAGCAAGTTTGGGCATCTCGGCGATGCTGGTTGGAGCGAAAACGAATGTAAAGAGAAGCTTTGGGAGGTCCGCGCGGATGTCTCGGATCGGCGCTGGACTCCCACTTGCGCGCGGGAAATTCGCTGGACCTTTGACATTTTATGTTGATGCCATCATTATTCCGTGAAGGGCCTCGTCTTGGTGCTGTCCGACCGTCCGCAAAGTTGCCCCTGAAGAACAATTGAGCAAGGACCGACCCTCCCCGCATTCCTATAGACTTGCCACGACACGTTAGCAGGACAACTGACAGCTCTGAGTTGCGGCTTCTGGCGTAAGTTGCTCCCCGAAAGCATCCCTCGAGTCGTGGATCGAACACAGAATTGCTTTACCCCAAAACTTCGATGTTCGCAGAATGAGCAACAAACTAATTGTCGTATTATATCTACGCAGCTTCCTACACAGGTTTCCAAGACCCGGCGAGACAATGAGTTTTGGGGTAAAATGATTATGTAGTCGATGCCCCATTTCGAATCCCAGCACCCAGCACCCTACTGGCGAGGCTCCCCGCAGAGGGATGTGCGCCCGTGCGAAGGAGGGCCCCAGAGGGCGCAGCCTGTACGCGCGTGCGCCAGTCCTGGCCAGGCGCCTGCTGGGCCCAGGATCGGAGGGTGCCTTCCTGGCCAGGTCAGGAGGGCGCATGCACAGGTCCCGGTTCCAGGAGGCCTGGCATCGCTCGGACGTGTGCATACGTTCTCGGCAAGGACCATCGAGGAGCATGTTGGGCCATCTTGCGAAAAAACACACGCACGAATCCGAAACATGCACGGGGAATGGACGTCCGAGTGATGGCAAGAGGACGGGCATGGCCATGATCGGCGTGTATATAATTGGCGCCATCGCGCAAGCCTCGAATGGTTTGACGCGCCACTTCAGCGTCGCCCCTTTTCGCCCATGCATGGTCGCCCCCTTGAATGTCGGAGCAGATTAGCACGCGGTCTGTGAGGGTGCGACTCGGAAGTTCCACGATGCCCGACATTGTAAAGGCGGCGCCAACAAGTCGCTTGCGCGCAATGTCACCCAAGCCCAGGGCACTACATCGGCAAGGGAACTGCATAACACATGTGTGATGGTCATTTTGTCAGGGGTGGCGGTTTCAGAATGGGCCTTGCCAGGATCGGTGTAGGTGTATACGCCCATCATGATTTCTAAGAAAACATTAACAAACATGTACTCCATATCCCGTTGAAGAGAATCAAGAATCTGGATTGGACCATGCGCGTTTTCTTGGAGTTTCCTTTTCGTATTCGTACGTCTGGACCTGGACTGCTGTTCAAGAAAACGCCCGTAGCGAAGTTAGTTGCTTGATTCTAAGCCGGTGTATAGTTTGCGCCCTCCTGCACAAGGGCCCGATTCGGCTTCTGGCCCGTTTCTGTTTTCGGCCCGATTCGGCCTCGGCCCGTCTCCGCTCGGCCCGTTACGGCTCGGGCCGGAGCCGAAACGAACCGAAGCGGGAACGGGCCAAGACCGAAACAGAACGACAGAGCCGAAACGGGCCAGAGCTGCAGCGCGACAAGGCCGAAAGTCGGGCGGGTGGCAAGGGATGGGGGCCCAAATGAGGGGTGGAGAAAAACAAGCCCTCAAGCGGCCATTGAGGGCCCCCCCCCCCTGGAGCAAGCAGGGGCCCTACAGGGCCCTCAAAGCACCCCCTTCGTGCTTTTTTCTCCACCCCCCACTTGGGCCCGGAAGAGCTCCTGACACATCCCTTGCAGGGCCCGCCCGAAAGAGAGCGGCCCCTGCCCCCGTGGGCCCCCCCCCGAACCCAGGTGCGGCTGCTCAAGGCGAAGCTCGAGGCGCAGGAGGCCCGCGCCGCCGCCGGCACCAGGACGCGTCCGCGGCGGGCCGCGCTCGCCGCCCGCGGCCGCCGCAGAGGGCCGAGTCGGTCGAGTCGAAGAGGTGGAGCAGCACACGGGAGGGGAAGGAACACACAGACACAATGAGTCGTCGGCTCCCCCAAAAATACGGGAAAATATGGGAAGTGGTGGGGAAGACGAAAACCCTGAAAATATGGGGAAACTATGGGGAATCTTTTTTTTTGTGTATATTTATTTGTGTGTCCCAGGGCCCCTTCAATCACACGGTTTGGATGATCGCTGGCGGTTGTGAGAATAGTTTTCTAAGACCTTTGCTTGTCATTGTCTGTCATAAACAGGACGTGTGGTGTTCCATATCATCCTTTCTGTTTTGACAGCGCATCGTCGTACACGTCGCTGATTGTTTTGCTGCAGAGCAAGAGAGCAAGAACATGTGATGGTCCATGTCAGGTAGCACCAGCGGTCGAACTGTTCCCGTTCTCACTGGGGCTGGTCGGATTCTGCCTGGTCGCACACCCGGAGCCCAGAGCCCTCTGGGGGGCGCAATATGGGGAAGGCCTTCTCGGAAGGCGGCGGGCCTTCGGAGAAGGCTCGAGAAGCTCCCCAGAGAGCCCGAGGCCCGAGGGCACCGAACATCGGAAGGAGCTTTTCTTCGCGGGCGCAGGGATCGGGCGCCGGTCAACAGCGGCGGGGCGCGCCGGATCACAGCGAGGCGAGGGACGGCCGGAGAGCCGAGAGGGGCGAGGCAGCCACACGGAGGTCGGAAGCAATGGATATATACATATATATATATATAATTAGATATACGTATATCTCTCTCTATATATATATATGTCGGCCGAGGGTAAGTCCGTTCCAGAGGATTTCAGAGCGCTGTCAGAGCGTTCGGGAAGGCTCTGAGAAGGCCGCGGCGCGCGATACGTCCTCCAGAGCCGCCAGATCTCAGAGGTTCTCGATTCATCCTCACCCGATGTAACATTGTCCTGGCTTGGTCTCAGCTTGCAAAGACCGCACGTCCGGTTCATCTTGAACAGGGCCCGTTGTCTGTGTCGCCGCGGACGTTGCCCATTTAAGACAGGAGGCCGCCTGCTCATCATCGGCCGCTGTCGGTGTTGGACAGCAGTTGCTGTTGGGCATCGTGCCCACGTTTCCTTAGCAATTTCGGGCGTCCAAGCCGAGGCCAACGCCTGGCCCCAGACAGCAGCAAGACGAGGTTTTCGGAAGTGCTCGTCGGTCCTCGGCGGGCTTCTCAGGTGAAGAAGAGGCGGGTCGAGGAGAGGAAAAGCACGGCGGGGAAGCCCCGAGAATGAAAAGCAACAGCCGCGACAGGGGTGAGAGCACGGCCGTGTGCATTTCAGTGCATTCTTTACCGGGGATCGTGGCCGTCCGGACCAAATATGTAGCCGGCATTCGGGCGAGAGCACGATTTCTGAATGAATGCGAGGAGCTCTCGGGCGAAACGGATGTTGGACTGGTTGGCCCAGGGCTCCCCGTCCTACCCGTGGGATTTTGCGGTTGTTTTTCTTGTTTCAAGAGTGAGTTAGAGCCCTCGTGAGGGAAAAAGATCACGACGCAGGAAGTTTGTCGCGTTCGGCCTCTGGGGGCCCTCGCCAGGCCCCAGGACCGTCAGAAAGCTGATCGAGGTGCAAAGTTGGCCCTGAGGACAGGGTCGGCGACTTCGGGAGTCCACGTATGGAAAAGCCGCGACATCGGATGTCTGGGGCCAGCCGTTTTCGCCGCCCGCGGCCCGCAGCCACCGCCCAGGGTCGAGAGCAACGCCTAGCTGTCAGAAGGGCTGATCGGGGGGCTCTGGCGTGCTCTGTCGTCTTCGAGGCCTCGCCAAGTGGGGCCATAGTGTTCGCGGTGTCGGAAGGACGCGCCTCATCGCCGATGCATCGCATGTGTGGCCCGAACCAGGGTCCGAGTTTCTCCTTCCGGAAGTCTTCGGTGCATCGGCGATGCATCGGCGATGCGGTGCGGTTCTCTATATGCTCTGGCCGTGTTTGGGATGCTTCCGTATCTGAGCATATGCACCTCAACCCAATATCAGGGTCATCCCTCATTGCCAGTTCTGCTTGCCGGTAATGGCCCACTTAGAGTTGTCAGATTCCCAGAAGTTCACCGAAACAGTCACTGGACCTTACCAATCCAAAGTTTGATGACGGGTCAAGGACGACGTTCCCCCGATCCTTGCTCTAGGCGACATTTACATTCTGAGCCCCGGGCTGGTGTTTGAAAGGTGGTGGCCTATTCTCAGGTGGAGGACCCGGACTTCCTGCGGATATTGTTGTTCGGTCCCAGATTTGTTTCCTGTATTTCGGTTTCTTGTGGCATTTCGTGGTCCCGCGGGGTTCGAACAAAATGATCTTAACCGAAACGCTATCCCCAGGACGTGGTCGGGAGGTCCTGGGCCGCGGGGTTGAGAGGACAAGGCAAATCGTCTGATGCCTGGGGAGGAAGAGAAAGAGGCAGCCAGCAGCTGCGTTTATCGTCGGATCTCTTTGATTTGATAGACTCATCCACGACGCGTCGTGCCTGAGGGTGCGCTTGACCGAACGTTCGACGTAGCCGCGGGGGGCGACTCGACCAGCCCCTCTGCAACGCCACAGGCTGTGCCGCCCGCAAGAGCCCCTTGCCGCCCCGACGTCGCCGACGCAGGAGCTGACGACGACGCCCTCGAGGCCTCGGAGCACTTTTGGAGACGCTCGTCGCCACAGCTGGGCGTGGAGGTCAGCCACTTTGGCTTACGTGTCGCTTCGCCAGTTCTGGCACCCTGCGCTACGGCGCGACACGCTCTCCATTTCCCGGCCCCCGGGCCTCAACGTCTCGAGCTTTTCCCATCTTCGCGTCTCGCGAGGCGGAGCGGCACGCTGTCGGCTTGCAGGGCATACCGTGCTGCAGCGAGACGCTGAGCAAAAGTTCCCGACCGTAGCACCTGCGGGGACAGACCCCAGTCCAAGACGAGGCCAAGATCGGGACCAGATCGGATCGGGACGAATCGGGGATCTCTGAGGGCCGGTGGTTCTGCAGAGAACGTATTTGGCGCCGCGCTCGTTCCAGAGCGCTCCAGAACGCCCTTAGATCGTTCTGGAACGCTCAGGGACGATTTATCCTGGTCCCAGCCCCGCTCGAAGGCCGTGGACTGGTTGTGAGCGGATCTTGGTCAGGCGACGACGACGACGCCGACGACGACGCCGCCGCCGACGACCACGATGTCGACGACGACGACGACGACGACTACGAAGCCGACAGCTTCGCTGACGACGGCGACGGCAACGGCAGCGGCGACGACCGACGAGTGATCGATCGACCCTTTACCGCTCGAACCTCGACCTGGAACCATCGATCGATCGACCATCGATCGTTCGAACGTAGACCTTGAACCATCGATCGATCGACCCTCGACCGTTCGAGCCTCGACCTCGACCGTATGCATCATCGATCGATCCTCGATTGATCGATCCTCGGTCGATGTTCGGTCGGTCGGTTGGCGGCAGCGGCGCGCTGCCGCGGGAGCGCGAGAGGACGCCGAACGCGGCCGCGGAGCCGACGGCGGAGATACTGTCGTCGCTGCAGGATTCTGGGGCGGCCAGGGGGGCGCGGCGCGCAGATTGCGTATCTGATTCAACCGATGGCTGGTCAGGTAAAAAAAACAGCACTCGACCCGCCGAAGGAAGCCAGAGCTGGACCCCAAACAGTGCACGGCAGGCGCTGGCTGATGAACACATGCCTGCTATGGATATGCGGCAGGGGCGAAGCTAGTGAGGGACGAGCGGAAGGAAGGGAGGAAGGGTGGGGAGGAGGGCGGGAGAGAGGGGGGGGAGGAGAGGGGTAGGAGGGACGGGGGGCGGGAGGAAGGAGGAGGAGTAGAAGGAGGAGGATGATGGACGCGTTACGGAGGGGGATGGTCAGGAGGGAGGAGGAGGAGGAGGAGGAGGAGAAGGGATGAGGGAAGAGGGGAGGGGGGAAAAGCTAGGTGCGCTCGCGCCAAATCTGACATCCTATCCCTCCCACCCGATCCTTCCCATTGCGCTGATGTGTTCTCTATCCGCCGACGTGTGCCACAGTGGACCTATGCTTCCAAAATGAGCCGCATCGTGTTATGCGCAGTCAGGAATGGGAGCTTGCGTGCATTGGAGGAGGAGATGGCGGATGAGCAGGGGGATGAGCAGGAAGAAAGGGAGTAAGGAGAAAGGAGGAGGACGAGGACAAACAGCTGAAGCAGCTGGAGTAGAAGGAGCGGGGAAGCAGGAGGACCAGGGGAAGGCGGAGGAGGGGAAAGGCGGGGGGCGACAACGATGGGGAAAGACTCGGACCCAGAAAAGAGGCCCGCGCTGGGGTCAGAGTGCCAGATCTGAACGAGCACAGCGGCGATCCTAACATGAGGCCCGCGCTGCAGCGGCCGCAGCGTTTTGAAGGACCGAAAACGACAAGATGGTAAGCAAAATCCGTAGGACCATAGGAGCGACCACGTTTTGAGCTCTAGCGTTAAAACAAGAAGCAGAGGGGGACGGGCTACACCCCGGCCACGTTCGGGGGAGAGAGAGAGAGAGAGAGAGAGAGAGAGAGAGAGATAGGAGAATTGCATTCCTGTGAAGCCATAGGAGGAGAAGGATGAGGAGGAGGAGGAGGGGGAGGTGGCGTGGCTGATGAGCAGGAGGATGAGCAGGAAGAACACGAGGATGAGAAAGAGGAGGAATATTCGGACGAACAGCAGCAGCGGGAACCGAAGCGGGAGGAGCAGGAGGACCAGGGGAAGGCGGAGGAGGGTAAAGAAGGGGGTTGGCAACGATGAGGAAGGACTCGGATCCAGAAAAGTGGCCCGCGCTGGGGCGAAATTGCAAGATCTGAACGAAAGGGGCACAGCGCCGATCCCAAATCAAGGCCTGCGTTGCAGCGGCCGCACCGATAGAGACACTGGAAACGCCCCGATGGAACAGGCTTTAAAATCTTGTGTGTGTGGCAACAATACGCGGATGGGGCGGGCTACTCCCCAACCGTCGTCGGGAAAGAGAGAGAGAGAGAGAGAGAGATTGCGAGAGATAAGAATTGTAGCAAGCTTGGGCAATGTGTGAGAAATTCTGTAGCATGGAAGAGGAAGGAGGAGGAGGAGGAGGAGGAGGAGGAGAAGGCGGTGGAGGAGGAGGAGGAGGAGGATGAGGAGGAGGGGGAGGAGAGGAGGAATTGACCGATGGTGGACGGGAGGTGGTACGGCTGGGCCTCCGCGCGCAGGCCAGCTGGACGCATCCGAGGGCCTCGAGAGCCCTCATACGGAAACCTTGCAGAGGGGACGGGGGGGGAGGGGATGGATGGAGGGAGAGGCCGAGGAATGAGCGAGGTGTGCGGAGGGGGGGGGCCCACAATGGTGCGGGCTAGCAGGCTCGTTCACTCCACTCCCTCGGATCTTCCGTTTTTTGTCCAGCAGTTTTGGACCTCTGGTTTGGACTCCGCGTAGTGTCACAGTCAGGAGGGTGGGAGGGAGCAGGAGAAGTAAACGCATACGTGTGGGAGGAGGAGGAGGAGGGGAAGGAGGAAGAGAACCTAAGCCCTAAGCAAACCCGCGATGATTCAGCGATGCCGCCCTCCCGCCCCAAGTTCCTTCTTCACACATCGCTGCAAGCCTTCCCTTCACTACAAGAGGCGCCTCCTTGAGAGATCAGCACCCTCTGCGCCAGTCATTCAGGCGAGAGCCCCGTTTTGAAACGGCAGTGGTTCGCATCCTTCTAGCCCAGAGCCAGGGATGCGAAACATGTATCATACGGTTCAGCGAGGTGTCCAGCAAGGTATCCACTTTGAGACAAGGACCGCCCTCAAACGTAACACTGTTTCACCATATTCCACATATGTCAATGCACTCTGAGGGAGTCTCAGGCGATAGCTCCGTGTTGGAAAAAGGACCGCCATCCATCCGTGCAGTTGCTGCATACGTTGAGTGTTATGGTTTTAACGCTTCAGGAAGTCTCAAGCGAGATCCCCATGTGGAAAAGGAGCCACCATCAATCCATGTAGCCATTGCAAGCGTTCTGGCGAATGTGCTCGGCGCTTCGGCGAGAGCCACATTGTGAAATGGAGCTGCCCTCCACCCTTGTAGCTGCTGCCGCCATTTATGTGGAAGATTCGCGGCGCTAGGGCGGCACCCCCATTCTGAAAACGACCTGTGCCTCATCCTTGTCACTGTTGCAAGCGTTCAAGACGAATGCACGCAACGCCCAGGCGAGAACTCTATCCTGAAAACAACCTGTGCTCCATCCGTGTAACTGTTGCAAATCTCAGGCGCCAGGGTCACGCATGGTTCGGAAACCACAGTTCAACACACAACTAACACAACACCCCCCCCCAACAGCGAGAAGGACGGCGTGATATGCGTGCTGATGTTTGTGCCGCTTAGGGGACCACCTGGACCTCTTGAAGCCTGTTTGCGCCCCTCCCCAGGGCCTCTTGGGACGTCCTTGGGGGTCTGCGTGCGCTCTTTCTCGAACCTTGGAGCGAGGCTCGAACGCAGGCGCGAGTTTTTGTTCTGGTCCCTCGGATGTTGAGCGCAGCGTCCTCATGTACTAGCTTTCAGCTTCGATCGTGCCATGCTGACTTGGCACTGGCTCGCGGGCGACTGCTGCCTCGCGATTTCCACACTGGAAATGTGGGCATTGGTTTTGTCTGTTTGCTACCTTGTTACCTTCCCTTCCTCGTCTTTGTCTGATCCTCCTCCTCTCTCGTGGGTCTCTCTTGGTTGGGCTGCTTTTTCGTTCCGTTTCCCCTCATCGATCATTCTTCCTCTGTACGCTCCAAGACGTGTCGGTAGGGCAGGCAGGGCGTTTCGCCTGAGACTTCCTCGCCTGTTTCTCTTCCACTCCCACTGCCATCAAAAACGTACACTAGTGCTATGGTAGAGGACTAGAGCAGGAGGGGGAGGAGGAACATGATGAAGAGGAAAAGGAGGAGGAGGAGGAGGAGGACGGCCAGGGGGAAGAGGAGGTAGAAGGGGAGGGCCCAGAAGGGGAGGGCCCAGACATACGATGTCTTGTTTTGTTTCGCCACGGGGTCCCCGGAAGTTTCGACCTTTGTCCCTAATGAGAGGCGGGTTTTCCATCCCGAGCTGCTGTTTGACGGTCCCGGGGTCTGGCGAGGGCCCGCGGGCGCAGAACGTTAGCCAGAGCCTGCAGACGTGATGTTTCACCACACGAGCCTCTTTGAGAAGGTGGCAGGGGAGGGCGATGGGGGGGGAGGGGGAGGGAGACCCTGCCGGGTGTACAGGACCTGGCGGCGGAGAATGCGAAGCTGAGGGTGGAGCTGGAGCGGCAGGAGCGGGCTTTTCCTCGAGCTCCGCTTCCTGCGGCGGGCGTCGGCGCGAGGTGCTGGCCAAGAGCTCCGCCACCGCCATCAGCCGGCGCAAACGGGGCCCAGCCAGAGCGCCAGATCCTGCAAGATTTTGCGGGGCTCGAGGAAGGAGAAGCAGCATATACATTAACTTTCGGCGGGCCTCGCAGATTTCCCAATCGGCGCATGGGACCCCCCGGCGGCGCCTCCAGCGCCGCTCCTGGTGCGCTCCACGCGCCAGTTTGAGGGGGGTCCAGCGCCGATCCAAGAAATTCGCGCGGTCCTCTGACAGTTTCTCCGTATCCCGTTGTTTCTTGTTCTACATGCCAGGTTTTTTTCTGAGCCGGGTTCCGGAGCCGCTCGCGGCTCTGGATGTGGTATCACATACTGGCTGAGTAGTTTTTTGGGAGTTAGTTGCAGTTCAGTTTTTTCTAAACTGGCTGAGTCTGGTTTGCGCTGAGCGGGGGCCAGCCCGCGCCCGACTCCAGAGTGGCGGGGTCCACACCCATCGTTGTGAAGGGAAGGGGTCCTGGAGGGAGGGGGGTCCCAGCGCGTGCCCTCCTCGGGTTTCTTTTTGCGATGGCTCGCCAGCGAGAGGTGCCAGCCAATAGTTCCACCGCCACCAGGACCAGGGGATGACTCGGCGGCGCGCACCAGTGGGTGGCGCGAGGGGATGTGGCCTTCTAAGAGGGCGGGCTAGCTTCTCAGAAGCAGGGGCCTTCTCAGGAGCCCCCGTGTCTTCCTACAAGCCTTCTCAGAAGCCCCGGGGACCTCTCAAGAAGGCCCTTGCCTCCTGAAGCCCCCCCGCCTTCTAAGAAGCCCCCCACCTCCCGCTACTCCCCTGTCCGTGCCGCCAGAGGATGCTGGGGTCCGCGCTCCTCCTCCCGAAGAGAGGAAGGGGCCCTGGAAGCAGAGGCCCCAGACATGTCTTCGTCCCGTGCTCGGGCTGCCGGGGCGCTCCCTGGGCCCAGGGGCCGCCAGGAAGCAGCTCGGGCGGTAGCCGACGGGCAGGTGGCGGGCGAGGGGCCGCAGGAAGCCAGCGGGCGCCAGGCGCAGGGAGAGCCCGAGGTTGCCCAGCGGAGGCAGGACGGGGGAGGCCGGCCGGCAGGCAGGCGCGCACGGTCTGTCGCGGGCCCCCGGAATGGCGTCAGCATGTCCACATGTCCAGGATCGTTGCTCCGGAGCCGGCCGGGCGAGGGGGCCACCCTTTTTTTTTGTTTCCTGTACTCGATGTGAAGGAATCACGAAGGAAGGCTTCGGGCAGTCTTCGGCCTCTCGGGGCCCTCGTCGTGCCCCGGGGCCGTCAAAGAACCGCTCGGGATCACGGAGCCGGCCCTGGGGAAGGGGTCGGGACTTCCTGGGGCCGCGCGCTGCGGTGACGAGGGCGCCGCACGTCTGGATGGACGTGGGGAGGGGGCCCCCTCCTCCTCCGCCCTCCGCTCCCCTGCCCGCCCATCTCCCCCGATCTCTCGGCAAGACTGGCCGTCCTCTCGCAGGGCAATCCTCCCAGCCTTGCGGGCCCACCGAAGACGGTCTTGTGGCGGCCGCTTGGGAGCGCGACCGAGCGCCGGCGATAGCAGATGCCTCGTGCAGCGCGGAATTTTGGAGCCTTCGGCTGCTCGACGACCTTGACCCTCCCACCGCTTTCTGCCTCTGGCTGCCGGTTGTGCCTGCAGTGGCCTGGAGCCGTTCGTGGTGGCAAGACTGCCGCTCACGCGAGTGGCCCCAGCGGGCACCTGGCTTAAACGGGTCAGATGCTGGGGCCGAGGAAGAGGAGGGGACGGAGACGGAAAGGAGGAAGAGGAGGTGAAGGAGGGGTGGGAGGAGGTGTCCCTTGATCGGGAGCAGGATTACGACACGGGGTTCCGAGTTGCCGACCGTGGGAACTCGCGGGCAGTGTCTCGGTCGAGCTTCAGGCGCTTTGGGAGGGCCGCCTTCGCGGAAATCCATCATTTCCGCCGCTTGATTTTGTCCTGGCCCATGGCTACCGGCAAGCTGGAGCGACAGCCCGCTCATCTGCAGTCCCGGGGTGCATCTTCACGCGATCGCCCGCTGGTATTACCTCGTCGCCGCTCATGGCGCGGCGGCGGCAAAGCTCTGCGAGCGGCTGGTCGCCCTCAGCTCAAGCTCGCGTGCATGAGCAATTCGCAATGCGTGATCTTTTTTGGCGTGGCTGGCCGTTGGGGCCGGCTCGCATTCAGGTCAGCGTGGTGCTTTTTGGCAAACGCCAGCTCGTCAGCTATCTTCGTTCCGTCGATGTTGGTCCTGGCCGCTGAGGCGGCTCGGCACGGAGACGCTGCGAGATTCCTGGCTTGGCGCTCTCACTCGCAAGCGTTAGTCGTTCTCGGATTGGGGAACGATCATTTCTTCGGGGTCTGGCTGTTCCATGTACGATTCGAGGATGCCCTTGGAGGTTCGAGCCAGCATGGCGTTCTTGTAACCCTAATGCGCTCGGAAGTTTATTCATTCCATTTTTGAGGGGACCACACTGCGTTGGATGGTGGGTCAAGTGTTCGGCACTTCTGCTCTGCTTGTGGGATCATGGTTGTACCGAGGACACTCTTTGACGCTCGTGCATCTGTTAGCGCTGCATTCTTGGTGTCGCAGCCGCTGCCTCCCTCGCCTCGTCCGTGGGGCTCGGCGCAGTGCCTCATCCATGTGGCTTCCGCTTTCTTGTACTACCCCCCGCGTGGTGGCGAAGCTTCCGATTATGAAGAGCAGGTCACGGGCACTGGCCTCGAGCCCGGAAATAAACAGTCCCGCCGCTTGAGTCGGGACATGGAGGTCGCTGCCACCGGCGAGAGCGCCTGCGCTTGTCAGCACAGGCTACCCAGGGCCACGAAGGTACCACGTATTTCCGGGAACGATATTTTCCTCTCCGGACCAGTGGGTGCAAATAAATGCCGCCAGAAAACAACACTGATGGAAGGAAATAAGCCTGGACTCGTCGACGTCCGACTCGCGCGAGGAAGTTTCCCGCAGAAATGACATGTGGAAAAAGCATGAGCACATAATGGAAAAATGGAAAGTCGCAGGAGTTGTTAAAAAGGGGAATAGCATCTGGAAAAATGGAAGCGTGGGAAATCAATTGGACAAGTGGAGCAGCGAAGAACATCAGGAGTACCTTGGAAACTTGACAGGTTGGAAAATAAAGCGCTCTAGTTTGCGCCACCGTTCTAATTAGTATTGAGGCTTTCCAGTCTGTCCCACTTTCCATATACTCCTGAGTTCCTCCACTTCTCCATGTGCTGCTCCACTCCTCAACTTCTTTGCACTTCGATACGTCCGCAGGTCAAGCTGACGGCCATTATTCGGCGCAAGAGACACCCAGCTCTGCCCCCGCTCCGTGGCACAGGGCTCGGCTGTTCCCTCGCTCTTGAGAGCATGAAGCGCGCCACCGCCGCCACCTGTGGAGATTCGGGGTGAGCTGGCGCGCGAGCTCCGGGCGCGCGCGCGATGCCCCGCGAGAGCGCCCGAATATATACATATATCTATCTATCTATCTATCTATCTATCTATCTATATATCTATATAGCTATCTATATACATATATATATATATCTATCTATATATCTATCTATCTATCTATCTATCTATCTATCTATCTATATATATCTATATATCGATCTATCTATCTATCTATCTATATATCTATATATATCTATCTATCTCTATATATACATATATCTATATATCGAACTACATATATATCTATATATCTATATATCTATATATATACATATATATATATCCCTCTCTCTATATATATATATATATATGTTTATATATATCGATATATATAGATACACCTACCTGCCTATCTATGTGTGTATATATATATATACAACTATATATCTATCTATCTATCTATCTATCTATCTATCTATATATCTATCTATCTATATATCTATATATATACCTATATATCTATCTATATATATATATCTATCTATATATCTATATATATATATATATATGTATCTATCTATCTATCTATATATCTATATATATGTATATCTATCTATCTATCTATCTATCTATCTATCTATCTATATATATATACCTATCGATGTATATATATACACACACGCCACCACCACCACCACCACCCCACCCTCTGCCTGTGCGGTTCCCCCCCCTGGGCTCCTCCATGTCTAAGGATGGTGCGATGCCAGCTCGACGGTGCTTGGCGAGCCCCGGCAGGCCGAGGGTCCTTGAGGCATCGGGTTGCCCGACGCTCCCCCTGCCGGATGGCCCCCAGGCTGCCCGATGCCGTCCGCTTGAAATCTCCCAGGCAGCTTCTTACCATTATGTTCGTTCCTCTCATGCTCCTTCTGCATATCCTGCTCCTCCCCCTCCTGCTCCTCCTCCTCCTCCTGCTCATCCTCATCCTCCCCCTCCCCCTCCCACTCCGACTACGACGATGCTCATGGTGACGATGATGATTGTGGTGACGTTTGCCATAACGAAGGTGATGAGGATGAGGTTTGGTCAGGATGAGGATGAGACTGGGGATGATGATGGCGCCCGCGTGGTCGTTAGAGCTCGTCGCCGTGCCTTCCTAGCTTCTGACCATTCCCCCAGAGGAGATGTGTCGACGAGACCCCCCCCCCGAGTGGGTTTATCTTCGGCACCCGTTTTCAACGGCGAGTGGACAAGGTGGGCGGAAAGGGGGGCGATGAGGAGACGGATGAGGAGCAGGAGCAGCACCAGGAGGAGTGGCACAAATGAGTTTTCACGGAGATCCGTTCAAATTCGCTACCCGATTGGAAAACACATGTTCGCGGAATTCGCAGCATGCGTTTTTTCCCCGAAAGTTCCAAGCTGTAATACTTGATCGAGCATTACGTTTACCTATGGGGAGACCAGGGTGTTTCAAGAGCTTCTCCGTGAAAGTTCCTTTCGTCGCCTCCTCCGGGGAGGGTAAAGCCTTCGATGGCTGTCTCTGCCCCGATGGTGGCTTCAAGATAGCCCCAGGGAACCTCAAAAGGGATCGGGATGCGAGGCTCGCGTCCGGAAAATGGAGGATCGACGCAGTAGGAGGAAAATAACATGGAGGAGGAAATGAGGAGGAAGGGGAAGGGGAACAGGAACATGAGGAAGAAAGGGGGCGGAGAGGATGGAGGAGTGGTTACACGCAGGATCAGTGGTCAGGCACTTTGGCTCAAACACTCCACTGCCGTACTAATGCCCTGGCGTACTGCTTCAAGTGGGATCCCCTGCTGGGCACTGCAAGTGTAATGTTGTTTCGGTCAGCCCGCGGTGTTGCGGTTATCTGGTTCTTTATGGCAGAGACCAAACCGACTTGGAAGAGGTTTCTGGAAAAAGGCATTATCTCCAGCATGATTACTACGTTGACTAGTTCGCGACCCTGCGGATATGATCAAGGCGCTGGAGACGGAGAACTGGCAGTGCACGTTAAAATTAAATCATATCTTGATTCTGGGTAAGGCGGTGGACCACGCCTGCCGCCAGAAACGCGCCGTAGCAGCACCGCACGGCAAGCGAGCGCGAGCCGCACCCTCTTCTGGCCGAGAGAAGTCTGACCCGCACCGGACCGCCGATTCGTGCCGCATCTCTCTGATGCCAGATCCGTCGGCACTGCGCGCGTCTCAGACCAGGCGGTTCGGAGAGGCGAGCGCCAGATCAACTACCTTGCGGCTCGTGCGCGCCACGTCGCGCGCTGCGCGGGTCGAGCTCCCGGTGTTCACGGGGCCGCGCGTGGGCGGTTATCTTGAGTGGCCAGGTGAGGACAACGTGCACGCCAGCATCTTCTGTTTTACTAGCGTGGGCAAAGTGCACGTATGTCAATTTTTCCGACGGCTGGTGAATCTGAAGCAGACGTCTTCGCTTCATCCACATGGCGGCTGTCGTTGAGCCAGCGCCAGAATGGTTCGCAAAAAGGTTGTCTGGGCGGCATTCTGTGCAAGTTTTCCAGACAGCGCCTGTGACACTTATTGCCTAGCTGATGTCGTTGCTTTTGCGCTGCGAACGAATTCGGCAGCAGTCTCCGTTGGAGGGGGGGCAGGATTTGCCGCCCGAGTGTCGGCCTCGTTCCTGGAACAGGGTGCGACTTATATTCTCAGTGATGAAAGCAAATCTGTTTTCGAGGGGTGGCTAGCCGTCTCACCCCCCCAAAACAGTTTTGAGAGGGCATATCAGGCCCAAGCCCCAGCAAGCCACGATTTTCGTAGCCGCCTCGGCTCAATCTGCTCCCTTCCGCCGCCGTGTGCGCTCGAGTTCGAGGGCTGTTTCTGCTAGCTGGGGGCTTTGGGCGGCGCGCGCTCAGGCTTCGTTCTCCCTTGTCCAATGTGGAAATCCGCACGTACCTCCAATACCTTATGATGTCTTATGCGTTCGCATGTTTCCATTATCCCCTTCCCCTGTATGGTGTTCTGTTTGTCTTCTTCCGCTTGCCCACTCGTCCGATGCCCGAGTTGCTTTGTTACGTAACATTGTCGAAGTCCTTTTGTATGCTTATGCTTTTCTATGTCTCCGCTTTCCCAGTTCTATGGTTTGCCATGTGTTCTCCATGGTTTTAGGCTTCCATGTCTTCATTTGGTGCATTACTTTTCCACTTGCCAATGTCTGGGGAGGGCGGGCGTATGTGCAGAGAGTGCAGTCACCCAGAGACCTGTGGGGATCCGCGGGGACCTCCGGTGATTTTCGGGAACATACGCAAGCCTCTGGGGTTTTTGGGGGGCCAGCGGAGACATTTGGAGACTTCCGGCGACGTCCGGAGTCCTGTGGAGACTTCCGGAGACGTCAGGGCCCTTTGAGATATGCCAATGACTTACGAGGACTTCAGATGAACTCTGGCGACCCCTGGAGGCGCAACGTCGGCACACCTTCCGCGGCCATCCATTGGCTTTGCCAGATCTGCGCGCACATGGCGCTGCATGCAAGGCAGAGTGGGTGTAGAGATTTGGCTCCCCATTCAACCTCCAGGTTGTTTCTGGCCATCTTTCGGCGCAGGTTGGGAGGAGGATTTTCGGGGGCGCCACGTATGAGAAGGAGAAGCGTCCGCAGCTCGAAGCTCGGAGGATGTCGGGGACGAGAATGGAGAGCGGGAGGTGGTGGAGTAGTGAGCCCAGGCCCCCGACGTCGAGATTTTGCGTTCGACAACATGGGCCCGGCCGCAGAACTGAATCCCTTCACCACGGGCCAGTTTTTCACCCCGAGCCGATTTTTTCTGGCGGTCCTGTGCCCCGGGGCCCTGCGAGGGCTCCCATAGGCCGAAAGTTACACGTAAACCTCCCGCGAGGGGGGCGGGGTCTTGGAGTCGAAAGTCGATTTCCAGACCTGCCCCAGGGAGGAGGAATTCTGACAGACTTCCGACGTGGATTCAGCCGCGGCGACGAGGAGCCCCCCGAACGCCCAGCAAACAGGCGAGCACGTTGGAAGCCCTCCAACACACGCGACGAATATATGTATGTATGTGTATGTTGTTGTTGTGTGTTCTCTCTTTCGTTCTTTATGTATTTATTTATCTCTCTCTCCTATATGTATACAGGTGTGAATGTATATGCATATGTGTATGCGTGTAGTAATGTACATGTGTATGTATTTGTCTTTGTATATGTATAGGCAAATGTATATGTCGATTATACAAATGTGAATTGGCAAGTGTATTTGGATATGTATATGTATATGCAGATGTTATGTAGGTGTGTAACTGTATTGGTATATGTGTGTGCATGTGTTTATGTGTAGATGTGCCTCTTTTTATGTATATGTACATTCGTGTGCATGTGCATATGTATATGGATGTGTGTGTAACTGTTTCTTTATGTATGTCTATATATATATATATACATGCGTGCTGTGTGGAATTCTTGGTCATCGGAAGTCCCGACCCATTCTTCCGGGCTGGTTTTCCATCCTGAGTATTTGTTTGTCCGTCCTGCGGCCCGGCGAGGGCTACCAGGGGCCGAAGACAGCGGACCAGAAACTTCCGTTGTGTTGTTTTTTCCCCAGCGCCGACCTGTCTTGGCTCGAATCTCGAAGCTCGAGGGTCGAACCCCGAACCTCCAGGGGAAACCTCCTGTGGTGATTTTGCCAAGGATCCTGAGGATCGCCCCCATCACCGGCATCGACGCGGAGGAAAAAGGAGAGGGAGGAAGGAAGGAATAATGAGGGAGGAATAATGAGGGAGGAAGGAATAATGAGGGAGAGAGAGGGAGGAAGGAATAATGAGGGAGGAAGGAGGAGGGAGGAGAAGGAGGGTGGGGAAGAAGAGAATGAGGAGGAGGGGGACGAAGAGGAGGAGCAAGAGCAGGAGGAGGAGGACAAGGAGGAGTAGGGGGGCGAGCAAGAGAAGGAGGACGAGGAGGACGAAGAGAACGTGGAGGGGGAGGAGGAGGAAGGAGGAGGGAGGAAATATGAGGGATGATGGTGATGACGATGCTGATGGTGATGATGGTGATGATGGTGATGATGATGCTGATGATGATGATGATGATGATGGTGATGATGATGATGCTGATGATGATGAGGATGATGGTGATAATGCTGATGATAGTGATGATGGTGCTAATGATGATGATAATGATGATGATGATAATGATGATGAGGAGGAGGATCACGGCGATGATGATGGTGATGATGCTGATGATGATGCTGATGATGATGATGATGAAGATGATGATGATGATGATGATGATGATGATGATGATGATGACGACGATGATGATGATGATGATGATGATGGTGATGATGATGATGATGATGATGATGATGATGATGATGATGATGATGATGATGATGATGATGATGATGATGCGAAGGAAGAGGATTCGGATGATGATGAGGAGGAGGAGCAGGAGCAGGAGCAGGAGGTGGAGGAGCAGGAGACAGCAGGAGGAGGGGGGGGGGAAGGAGGAGGAGGAAGAGGAGGTGGACTTGGGAGGAGGAGGAGGAGGAGGAAGAGGAGGAGGAGGTGGTGGAGGAGGAGGACGAGGAGGTGGTGGTGGAGAAGGAGGAGTTGGAGGAGGACGGGGGAGGAGGAGGATCAGGAGGAGGAGGAGGAGGAGGAGGGAGGGGAGAGGAAGAGGAGGAGAACGACGAGGCGGAAGAGGAGGAGGAAGGAGGAGGACGAGGAGGAGGAAGAGATGAGGGATGTCGAGGTTGCTTATGGTGATGATAGTGATGATGATGATGATGATGATGATGATGATGATGATGATGATGATGATGATGATGATGGTGGTGGTGGTGGTGGTGGTGGTGGTGTGATGGTGGTGATGATGATGATGATGATGATGATGATGATGCTGGTGATGATGATGATGATGATGATGATGCTGGCGATGATGATGATGATGATGATGATGATGATGATGATGATGATGATGATGATGATGATGATGATGATGATGATGCTGATGATGATGATGATGATGATGATGATGCTGATGATGACAGTACTAATAACTATGATGATGATGATGCTGATGATGATGAGGAGGAGGAGATAGGAGATCGGAGGAGGGGGGGGAGGAGGAGGAGAAATCCGTGAGGAGACTAGACTGTCATCTGGAGATCCCCTCGGCCGCGCTTGCGCGTTCGCCTAGCGCGCGCGGACGCCTCTCGCAAAACCGCGGATCTCTTGCAGCGCACCGAGAACGTCGAGCTGAGGCGGGAGAACCAGAAGCTGCGGGCAGGCGCGGACGTGCTGCTGCTCCCTCCCGTCCAGACGGGGAAAACGTACCCATACCGTTACCCTTCCGTCGTTTCCGCTTTGGGGGATCTCCTAGGAGGCCCTCGTCGCCACCGCTAGATTCGCCTCGAACTCCTGGTCAGAACGCACCCCGGAGAGGTCGAAGGAGCAGCGGTATCGGTACCTTTTTGATCCCCAACCAGGCGTTCAGCACAAAGCTTGCACCGCATAGAGTGCAATACGCAGGTTTCCCTCTCATAAGAATAAATGGAGCTACCACTCCCCCCCCTGGACTTAACGCCCCCTGGGATATAGCAAAGCAAAGTACAGACATTCCTGCCCCATCGGTCATTTTGCACACGCAACCTACCATCTCAGACGATCTGGTATCGACCACCCCCCACTCCTGTCAAATAATTATTTTCGCGCGCAGCCGCCGTTCCCCAGGCAGTGCTTGAGAGATTCTCACTTCTGTTCTGAGGAACTGGGGGGGGGTCGGTCTGGCGGCTATGTTGTCGACGTCGCCGCCCCGTCGCCGCCTCGTCGCCGCCTGTCGTGTGGAGGGGTTGTCGGTCTGACGGCTATGTTGTCGCCGTCGCCGCCTCGTCGCCGCCCGTCGTTTGGTGTTGATGGTCGGTCTGGCGGCTAAGTTGTCGCCGTCGCCACCTAAATTGCACTTCGTAGCTTGCATGGCATGCACTTGTTCATCTTACAAAGGAAATGGGATCTACGTACACCCCTCGTAATAACTCCCCCTGCAAATGCCAAGATGGCCTACGACTATGCCCCATCATTCATTCCAAGATCAAGTCCGTACCATCCTGGCCAGACTGGTAATCCCCCCGCACCATCCTTTGCCAGCGCTGTTCGCGCACACCCGTTGCTCAAACATCTTACTTAACCAAGAACCCAAAGCATCAGGACAAACAGTACGTGCACACACGCGCGTCGTCGCGCGTGCATGCCGAAATCCTGCAACCATCCCAAGTGTCGCAAGAGTGCCCTGACTGCATATAATATTCTGGTTTTGCAACCTGAATGTTCGAAACAATCAGCGCGCGGTCTTTTGCGAGTTCTTTATTCGAAAAAGCATAGACCTACAACAGATTCCGCGAATTAGATCAGACGTGCCTCCCGCGTGCGCATGGCGAAATCATTCGAACGCCCTTGCGCGTGTGCTGGGGGGGGGGGGCAGGACCACTCATACAGAATGAATGCCACGCGGGCCACCCGCGCACATTGGCCGCGCGTACATGTCGACATCCGTTCACAACTTCCATCGCCGACGCGTGGACACCATCACCGTCAGCTGCATGATCTGCATCGGCGCCGTCATTGGCCTTGCTGTCGTCATCGGCACCGTCGCCACCAGCATCGCTACAATCATCATCGTATCTGCTCCCGCCGACGTCGCCATGATACTGCGCCCGCCCGAGTCACCGACTCGCGTTGAAGTGCCCGCGCGCCAGCGCGGCCTGGGAGACCTGCTGGAAATTCCGTAGTTGTCAGTGCCACCGCGGCCGCGTCTGTCGCGCCAGACAAGCTGGCCGTTCTGAGCGCGAGCCAGCGCACGCTAGCGCGGCCGCGACGATGCGCCAGCCTGCGCCATGCGGGTATCGCGATCGCTCTCGCCTGAGCCGTGCAGTGTAAATGGCGCTTGGGTGGGTGGGATGATTGCGCGATCAGCGGGGTTGACATGTTCAAGGTTGGCAGGGCGAAGTGCACCACTCAGGGAACACCACGTGGGCCCCTCCGAATGAATTACACAACGTAGATTGCACAACATGGGTCTTTCATCGCATATTGGGCAACAGAGATTGCACCAAGAAGCTGTGCCGCGTGAGTAGCACAACTGAGATTGCGCCATTGGATCGCACAGCGTCGATTGCACCGCATGAAATGCGCACGACAAGAATCCCTTTCCCAAACAAGGAAACAGGATCTACCACCCTCCCCCTGCCCCCACCGGGGACTTATCGATCCCCCTGGGGATGGGCCATTTACACATGAGTATGCCTAAATATGAGTTCGCACCATCCAAGCCAGGCCGAACTCCCCCCCAGCATCCTCGTAAAGTAAGAGCATGCGCGCGGATTTGTTTATCAAGACACCACTTTTGTACAATAATCCTTTCTGCCAAAGAACAAAGTCCACACTCGCGCGCCGTCGCGCGCGCATGCCAGTCTTTTTCAAACAGTTGGGGTTCGTGAGGATTCCTATATCGGGTGCCCCGAAAACATATAATCACACACGGCTGTGCAACATAATTTTTCGGAGCAGGCATGCGCGCGGGCTCTAGCGAATTTCCCACGAAACCACCCGCTGTTCAACATGTTCATCAAATTCGACCAGCGGGCATTTCGCGCGCGCGAATCGAAATCATTCGAATGCCATTGCCCGCGTTTTTTGGGGGGGCACGGTCCCTAACAAATCATGCCCCGCGTGCCTTTCTCGCTCGTCGGCCACGCACGCATGCCAAAATTCACCAAACCCTGGTCGCCGATACGCGGACACCACCATCGTCAGTGGCGTGATCAGCATCGGCGCCGTCATTTGTCTTGCCGTTGTTTTTGCCTCCATCTTCACCATCACAACTACTGTCATCATCGCGTCTGTCGCCGTGATACCGCGCCCCCGCGAGTGTCCGACTCGCATTGGATTACCCGCGTATCAGCTCGGCCTACGAAACGCGCTGGGCAGTCCTCAGCGGTCAGCGCCACCGTGGCCGCGTTGGTCGCGCCAGACTAAGTGGCCGGCCTTCGCCGCCGCACTGGTTTTGCAAATCAAGTTGCGGGTGGGTGGGTGGGATGCTTGAGCGAACACTACAGTGGACAATTCAATACGAAGAAAAAATAGTTGCGCCACATAAGTTGCGCCACATCCATTGCGCGACATGGGTTGCAGCGGGTAGCACAGTATGTAATGCACAGCACAGACTGCACAACACAGAGTGCATCAGTAGACGGATTGCGTCACTTATTGCACAAGACAGTTTGCCCCACATAGGTGGCACACCATACATTGATAGAAGCGAATTGCTTGGGGCTCATGCCGGCGAACGCTTGTCCCAGTAAGTATTTTGTCAAGAGCTGTTTTACAAAACATAGTACAGGGTCCACGCGAGTGCACTTGGCGAAATCTCACCGGGAGCATAGTTTTTGAGCACATGTTGCGGCAAAACAAAAGAACGATTTGGCGTTGTATTGCAAGTTTTGAGAATTTCGGCCCGCGCGCACATCCTGGAATCATCGGCCAGCCACCTGGGATGATCAATCACGTCCAGATCCCCCGTTCCTTCTTTCACCACGCGGCGCACCTGCGTTGATACAGCACGCGCCCAGTGTGCGAACCCGTATCAAGTAATTCCACTCGGGCCACGCGCGCACCGCCACGCGCGCTCGCGCGCCGAAAATCTGCCAACTGTTTTCGGCGCGTTTTACGAAAGAGCTCTCTGGAAGTGCATGAAACAATGTTTCTAGAAAGAGAAACTTGCCAAACATTCCGAATCGGAGTTCAGCAAAAAATTGCACATGGACATCACCATCATCGGCATCGACGTCACCAGCATCGGCGCCGTCATTGGCATTGCCGTCGTCATTCTCATCATCGCCACCCCCATCGCCAATATCATCATCCTTGCCGCCATTGCCAGCGCCATCACGATGCCGCACCCGTCCGAGTCACCGACCCGCATTGAAGCGCGTGCGCGCGGCAGCGCGGCCATAGACACGCATCGGGAAGTTCCCACCGGCAAGCGCCATCACTGCCGCATCAGATGTGCCAAACCAGCGGGCTGCTCTTCTCGCGGGGTTGTGCGCGCTAGCGCGGCCGAAGAGATGCGTCAGCCAGTGCCAAGCAGTCCCGCAATCGCGGCCGCATATGTTTTATAAAACAAGGTGCGGGTGGGGGTGTGGGATGTTTGTGAGAGCAGTGCAGCTGTCAACGCTTTGATGGCTTTAGCTTATTCTCCGTTCAGAAGGAAGATCTACTCCAGCACGCTCAGAGCCCAGGCTTATAGATACACTCCGGGGCATTGGAATTTACGTGCGATTCTACCCCATCGCTGATCTTCCGCTCCGTCATACCATCCCAGCCCAGTTGGCATTGGTCTCCCGTCATCCTTGTGAGACAGTGCCACGCGGGCGCACTCGTTCGTTTCAAACAACCATGTTGCATGCATTAACCCCTTGCAGAAAATGCCACGAAGTCCACACTCGCGAGCGCACGCGCCTAATTCACACCGAAAACATTTCAGTTGTGCAAGCGCATCAACGCAACAACAAAACACACCCATTTGGTTGTCATCAAAACCTTGCACGCTTTCAGCCCGCGCGCACTTCCTGGAATCATCGAGGAATCCTTTGAGTTCAGCAGTCCCGTCCAGAACCCGCGCTCTCATCTCACCACGCGGTGCATCTGCGTTGATTCAACATGCGCCTAGCGCGCGGATCCGTTTCAAATCGCACCATGCGGGCCACGTGCTAGCTCCGCCACGCGCTCGTGCCGAGCACACATCTGTCACCTTTGGGGCGTGTAGACATCGCAAGGTCTAAGTCACCAACACCACCTGGCAAACCAGATGCTTCTCAACTGGAAAAGCTTGCAGACTTCTTGGTTCTCCTGCGCGCGCATTTCCTCACCGCCGCCCTCATCGGCGCCAGCGCATCAGCGCCGATATCGTCATCGTCAATCGCCGCCGCCGTCTTCATCCGCAGAATCGCATTTCATCGCCGGCTAATGGATACCATCGTCATCGTCGTCACCAGCCTCGGCGCCGTCAGTGGCCGTCATCATCGACATCATCGCCACCACCCTCGTTATCATCATCATCATCATCACCACCATCATCATCATCATCATCATCATCATCATCATCATCATCATCATCATCTTTGCCGCTGTAGTCGACGTCTCATCATGCAGGGCCCATTCCGATTCGATCGATTCGATCCGATGCGAGCACGGCCAGTTCCGATTCGATTTCGATTCGATTTGGCGCAAATGGAAGCCGATGTGATTCCCGTTCGAATTCAAGCCGATTAGACTTCGGTTAGATGCGTCTGGATGTCCAAGGGTGTTTCCCTGGTAATCCCTGTGTGATTGTGCGTGCGGGATGTCTTCTTCTCCTGTCCCCCTTCCTCCTCCTTCTCGTCTGATTTCCCCTTCAAGTCCTGGCTGTTCGCGGTTCGATTGTTTCCGTTGGAATCCATTGGTATGTTTCGTTCGTTTTCTTGTGTGGCCTTTGTTCGTGTCTTCGTTGTCTGCCTCAGGTTGATTCGGTTCAAGAAGCATGTGGGCCAGCAGTCGGCCCCTGGAGGCCTTGGAGGCAGCAGGAACAATTGTCGGGCTTCGGAAACTGATTACCGGCCTCCAGAGGCCTGGGGGTCAGCAGCCGGCCGCCAGAAGCCCGGGAGGCAGCAAAAACAAGTTCTCGTTCTCGGAACATCGATTTCGGCTCTGGAGGCCTGGAGGGCAACAGTCGGCCCCTCAGAGGCTTGGAAGGCAGCAGCTTCTGGGGTCTGGGAGGCAACAGTCGTCCCCTGGAGGCAGGGAGGCGGGAAAAGCAATTTTTCGGGTCTCGACACACGGATTTTCGGCATCCAGGGGGAGGCAGGGTCCTGGGAGGCAGCAGTCGGCCCCTGGAGGCCTGGGGGGCGGCCGAAAACATGTTACGGCAGGCCGACAGTGGAGGACCGGGGTGCGTGGTTCGAGGCGCCAATGCAGTTTTGCATGAATATCCGGGTTTTGTTAGAACGAGCCGGTGGAGCCGGTAATGGACCATGCAGAACATGTTACGCACCAGAGGTAATGGATTGCACCTGGACGCAGGCGAGGGAGACAATCGGAGACTGGTGGGTGAGATCGAAGTGGAGCGGCGATCCCCCTCGAGCAAATCGGTGTCGGTTTCGTGTTCGTGTCGTGCGAGCGGGCGAGGCGAAGTTGCGCGCGCGCACGAGAGTCGAGAGCAGTGATCCCGCCGTTGCTTGGGCGAAGTCAAAGGAAAAAAATCCCGGCGAAGGACCCAAACATATGCAGTTGTGGGTACCAAAATTGTTAAGATCTTCTTCGGTGAAGCTCCCTATGGGGCCACGAAGCGCTGCACTGGGTGGGGTGGGAACGCATGCGGGCGGTAGCACTGGGGCCGTCGGTGGAGCTCCCAATGGGGCCACGAAACGCTGCACTGGGTGGGTGACGATGCCAAATTGGGTGTGTGGGACGCATGCGGGCGGTCCCACTGGGGGCTTCGGTGGAGCTCCCTATGTGGCCACGAAGCGCTGTATTGGGTGAGCGACGATGCCACATTGGGTGTGTGGGACGCATGCGGGCGGTCGCACTGCCAGCTTCGGTGGAGCTCCCTATGGGGCCACGAAGCGCTGTACTGGGTGGGTGACGATGCCAAATTGGGCTTCCAGGACGCATGCGGGCGGTCGCACTGGGAGTTTCGGTGCAGCTCCGTATGGGGCCACGAAACGTTGTATTGGGCGGGTGAACAATGCTAAATTGGGTTTCGGGGACGCATGCGGACGGTCCCACTGGGAGCTTCGGTGCAGCTCGGTATGGGGCCACGAAGCGCTGTATTGGGTGGGTGAAAATGCCAAATTGGATTTCTGGGACGCATGCGGACGGTCGCACTGGGAGCTTCGGTGGAGCTCCCTATAAGGCCACGAAGCGCTGTACTGGGTGTGCGGGACACGTGCGGACGGTCCCACTGGGGCCGTCGGTGGGGCTCCCTATGGGGCCACGAAACGCTGTACTGGGTGTGAGGGACGCCTTCGGACGGTAGCGTTGGGGGCTTCGGTGGAGCTCCCAATGGGCCCACGAAGCGCTGCACTGGGTGTGCGGGACGCATGCGGACAGACCCACTGGGGCCGTCGGTGGGGCTCCCTATGGGGCCACGAAGCGCTGCACTGGGTGTGAGGGACGCCTGCGGACGGTAGCACTGGGACCTTCGGTGGGGCTCCCTATGGGGCCACGAAACGTTGCACTGGGTGTGCGGGACGCATGCGGACGGTAGCATTGGGACCTGCGGTGGGGCTCCCTATGGGGCCACCAAGCGTTGTACTGGGTGTGCGGGACGCATGCGGACGGTAGCACTGGGACCTGCGGTGGGGCTCCTTATGGGGCCACGAAGCGTATGAGGGGTGTGCTGAAATGAGTGTTGATGATGAAGATGAAGATGAAGCTGATGATGATGATGATGATGATGATGATGATGATGATGATGATGATGATGATGATGATGATGATGTTGATGCTGATGCTGATGCTGATGCTGATGATGATGATGATGATGCTGATGCTGATGCTGATGCTGATGCTGATGCTGATGATGATGATGATGATCATGATGATGATGATGATTTGATGATTTGATGATTTGATGATGATGATGCTGATGAGGAGGAGGAGGAGGAGGATGAGGAGGATGATGATGATGGTGGTGGTGATGATGATGATGATCATGATGATCATGATGATGATGGTGACGAGATGAGGGAGGAGGGGAGGAGGAGAGCAGAGGAGAGGAACGCGGGACACCGTCTCTTCAGAACGAGGACCCAGCACCACAGGATGGTTGGGAAATATTTCGTCCGGGTGGCAGATTGAGATTGGGCACGCGGTTGTCCCGTGGTCGTTCTGTGGTTTCTCCGTGATTGTCCAGCGGTTGTCTCGTGGATGTCCTAATGGTTGTCCTGACGGTTGGTTGTCCCAGCAGTTGACCCAATGCGTGTCCCGATGGTTATCCCGATAGTTGTTCCGACGGTTGTCCCACCGGCTGTCACGATGGGTCTCGGCAAAAAATGAGCCGCGCGCTTTCGGTGTCTCTTGATGTTGGCGAACATGCAGCAACACACGTTCGATTGTTGTCCCGGTGGTTGTCCCGACGGATAGATAGTGGGATCGAAAAATATTAAGATCGACGGACAAACTGACAGACAGTGGGATCGATAACTAGGTAGATAGCGGGGTCACTGTATTCGACGGGTGGGAGATACAGTGGGATCGCTAAGTGTTGATAACTATATATATATACATATTATATTCAATGCGACCGCAAGTTATACGTATAGACATACAGACCGATAGGATGGATTGACACACCGGTTGATCGTGAAATCAGTCGACCGATAGCTGAGCCGATGGGTAATGAGACCGGTAGATGTTGTTCGATGGGCGGAGACGGTTGTCCCAAAGAATGCCCGTCGCTACCTCCCGAACAGAAAACTGATTACCGGCATGCTGCAGTCGATGTATGCAATTTTGGGAGATCAGACGTGCCTTAGATGATAATGACTTGGCCGAATATACGGGGAACTATAGCATTCTGATTATATGTGTTAACATAGCTTGCATCTACAATCGCGGCACGATAGAAAGTGATGCAAGTTGAGCAACGGTGGAACACCTAACTCCGATGTTGCAGATATGATGTATGGCCTGGGGCCAGCTTGCGAACAATCGCGTAGGAGCCAGCCGATCAAATTGATGAAGGGCGGCCTGCCGACGCACAAACGGATGCGCCTCATTTCCAACCTCGACCCTGGAAATTCTCCAGGGGGGGGCGTTCTCCTCTTCTGACTGTTGCCAGTCCTCCCTTTCTTCCTTCCCTTCCGCCCACTCCCCCTCCTCCTCCCTCTGTATTCGCCTTCTCCTCCTCCTCCTCCTATTATTTCTTCTGTTTTACCCCCCACACTCCGCGCATTTCCTGCGCTGCGCTCGTTTCCCCTCCTCTTCCTCCATCCTCTTTCTGCACACGGCGTCGCGATGTTGAAAGCAAGGGCCAATAGAACACTCACTGGACGATCGGGCAACATAGCGTGAATGGTGTGCGTATCGTATCGTGTCGTCCTCGTTCTCCCCTGCACGCTTCAGGTGCCGCGCCCCTCTGCTCCCGCATGGGGCCGAACGTGGGTGCGGCAGTTCCTGGTTGCCTCGGTGCGGCCGCGACGCTGACGCTGGCGCTTTGGACCGAACGCCCTCCATGGGGCCCGTTTCGGGCCCCATGGCCCACAGACGCTTCTTTGCCCCGGCGCCAGCGATCGCGCGGCGCGTCCGAGGCCAAATTGAGTCGCAATCCGGCACTTGACGTGCACACGAGGGAGGCGAGGCAAGACAGAAGGCGGCCGCGGAGGGGGGGAGAGGGAAGCGGACGGACCACTGAGACCGTGAAGGCGCCCACAGAGAAAGCCTTGCGAACCTCATACGAAAGATTGTGTCGACAGTCTGTGGGGGCCCGCGGCAGCGAAGGTTGTTCGAGGTTGAACGGACCGCGGGTGAAAGAGGCCAGGGTCCGCGTCGTTCAGGGAGGAGCCTACCATTGCGTGCATCTTGTCAGCCTTGTGGCCAAGATTTCGTGTTTGGGAGGTGGAGGAGGAGGAGGAGCCATGAATTCTTGTGGTACGCTTCTGTGAGTGACACCGCCGTCAACGTCAGGTGATTCAACAAGAAGTTATTGGCTTGCATCGATGCTGAGCACTTCCAGGAGGCGTGTGGCGTGCCACTGCGCCCTGAGTAAGCGGGGTGGTGTGATATCTCCGTCACCGAGAGAAGTGATCTCCAAGGTACGTTGATGCGGAGGATGTATCGTGGTCGCAGAGTTTTTCAGATTGACTCTGCTGGCGTCTGCACTTGCGCACGGGCACTCGCTCAGAGCTGGGGAGAGTCCGCGATGTTGCTGATGATGGTGAGGATTAATTATGGTGATGGTGGTGATGACGCCGACTGTGATGAGGATCATGAGGATGGGTAAAAACCGCAGGAGGAGGACGAGGAGGAGGAGGAATATGAGGTATGCAGCGATGAGGGCATACTTCACCATATTATAGTGCCAGCCCTGCGAACCCTCTGGTTCGCAGAGCACGAGCGCCGCCCACTGCGACGAGCCATGAACCGCCCTCCCTGTGGCACGGTGGGGGCATCAATTGCTTACGCAGGCATGCAGGACCTTGGCGAACGCCTTCCCCTGCCAGGGCGCGATAGCTAGCCCACAGCTGCACCACAGCAGGCGACCCGGCGGCCGCGCAGTGGCGACCGCTGCCCCCGCCCCCCAACAGGAAGCCGGGCGCGTGGCCGGCCGCTCGCGCTTCTGCACAAAGCTTGCTGCAGCTGCCGGCTGCCGTTGCGGCGGCTCGCGGCGCGCCGACAACTGCATCTTTTGAGATCCGACGTTTTGAAGACATTAGGACAGAGTTACAACTGGAGCCCTCTGCGCCAACTCCAGCCACGTGCAGAGGGGGATGACACGAGGGGGCCCCTGCTTCTTCGAGGGCGCGGGACGTATCTACAAATGTAAGGCCGGTGCCTTCCAAGGAGCAGCCTCCTTCTCAGAAACCTTCCCCCCTTCCCCCATACCCCCTCTGCGCGCCGCCAAATCGTGAAAATCACGACAGGAGCCCTCACCCCCATTTTTCTGCGCCGTGTTTTGAGCCGCATCGATTTGTGAGGCTCCCGGGGCCCGAGTCTGGGCGAGAGAACGCCTGGCTCGGAACGAGTTGAGGCGCCCGGGTCTCACAGTTTGTGCGCGCCCCCGCCGTCTGGGGGCCGATTGGCTCGGGCCGGCTGGACGCGTCGGGTGTTGCTAGAAGTGCTCCTGGCCCAAGGTGCCCCCTGGATTTCCAAGGAGCCCCCCACGGCCTCCAGAGCACCCGCTCACGAGGCCCAGAGGGGCCCATGGGGCTCCGAGGTGGAGCGAAAAGCGGTGGGCACCGTGGGCCAGGGGGCCTTGCCAGGGGACGGTTGACGAACCAACAACACACACCCATACCCATAGAGGGGTCGGAGAGGGCTATGGGTGCGTGTTGTCTCATGGGGGTCCCCGCTCGAACGGGAGCGTTCCCCAGGGTCCGACAACCCACACCCATACCCAGAGCCAGTCCTCCTCCCAACGACCCCCCTATGGGTTTGGGTGTGTGTGTGTGTTGCTCGTTCGTCTCCGGTGTCCCCCGATGGCATGGGACTGGGCCGGCCAGGCTCGGGCCGGGCCCGGAGTCGGGCGAGCTCGGGCGGCGGTCGGGCGCACGGGCCCCGCAGCGGCGCGGAACGTCGCCGAGCTCGCTGGCGCTGCGCCCACCGGCTGGGCGGCGGCGGGTCATGGCGGGTCATGGCGTCGTGGCGGGTGGCCCCGGGGGGCCGTGCTCGGTGGGCACGCCACCGAGCACTGCGCCCTGTGGCGCGTCGGGCTCGGCGTCGGGCTGCACGCTGCGATTCGCTCCAGCGCCGGCGAAAGAGAACGTCAGAACTGATGGTAATGACGCCACGATAAGGACGCAAGGGCCTCGGAAGGCCATGCCGACACTTTTCGAGCGGGCTCGTCGTCGAGCAAGGATGCAAGGGTACCCTTGGGAAGGTTACCCATCCTTACCATCGGTTTCGACTGTATCACGCACGGCTCCGTTACGCCAGTGAATGCCACAGCGCCACATGTACAGCGCACTCCGCACGCGATTCTCACTCTGGCGGACGGCCCGCGGTGGCCGCGGGGGTGGCCGTCACACTCCGCTCCAGGCCCCTCGCGCTGGAGGCGTGCCTCGGAGAGCAGAAGGCGGCAGACCAGAATCTTTCGGAATTCCGCGCGGATTTGTTTGGATCGGCACCAGGTGCCGTTCGGCGACGCTTCTGGCCGGCGCCGCTCCTGGCGCGCTCCGCGCGCCAGGGAAGGCGGGCCCAGCGCCGTTCCAAGAGATCCGCGCAGAGCTCCGCAAGTTGATGTTTTGCCGCTTCTTGTTCCTCCAGTGCAGGCGCGTGCGCAGTGCACGGCGCGCGGCGCGCGAACCTCACGCGCCTCGGCGCGGCGCTGCTGCCGCGTCGGGCGCTGCGCCGGCGCGCAGGATGTCCCACGACAAGTGATGCTGACGCTGCGGCCTCATCGCCATGCTCGATGTCCTTCGCAATCCTTCGGCGAGCGGGCAGATCGTACGCTTACGAAACCTGCTGGGCGCGCGGCTCAGCCCGGCGCTGCAGCGGGCACGTGCCGCGCGGGCCGTGTTGTTCGAGGCAGGGCGCGGTCGTCACCGTGTGCGCCGTGGGACCAAGCGCCGCGCGAGCGCGCGAGGCGCTGGGGCCCCGGGGCAGCCGCAGCGGGCATGGGTCCCAATCCAGAGGTGCGCACGTCGTGAAAGGTTACGGTCGGGAGCTTTTGGCTCAGCGTGCCGTTCCGCCGGGCTCTGGCGCACCACGTGTTGGCGGGACCCGCTATCCACTTCCTCGACCCTGGGCGTCGGCGTCCCGAGCTGTTCCCGAGACTCCCGCCTCCCGGAGCGGAGCGACACATCATCCGCTTTCAGGGCATGGCCGTGTGGCTGGGCCGCCGCGGCGACACGCTAAGCAAATGTTCCCGACCGTTCGGCGGCAGGTGTTCTGCCGTCTTCGGCCTCCCAGCGCTGGCCCTCGCCGGGTCCTGGGACCTTCAGTCATCGGTTCCATGCTGCCCGGCCGAAACGTCCTCCGATGGTCCCGTGGACCCGCCCAGAGTCCCAGGGCGAGCTGCGAAGCCTGAGCTGGACGAGAAAGGTGCCCACATGCCTCTCGTGCTCGAGGCCGAGCCAAGGCCCCCGAGACCGAGGTGAGTCACTCACCTGGGCCCTTGGGCAGCCGCAGCGGCGCGCGCACGCACGCGTACCGCGCCAGTGGCGCTCTTGCCGGCAGGTGGTCGCCGCCCTTCCTCCCGCAGAGGGGCCGCAGCCGCCGACCGGCCCGGGTCCTTCGAGGTGCTCGGAGAACCGCGGGGTCCAGACGTGCTCGCGCCGTGAAAAATCACAACGGAAGGATTTGGGCTGTTTCGGCTTCCAGGGGCCTTCGCTGGGCACCAGGACCGTGGAGCACCGACTCGGGATGACAAAGCAGTCCCCGGGAAGTGGTCCAAACCTTTGGAGGTCCACGCCGTGAGGAAATCATGACGTCGACAGTCTGGGTTCGGGGCTGCCCCTGGCGTCGGGCGGAGCCCACCCGTGCCTCCCAGACGTGCCCCCGCGCGATGGGCGGCGGGGAGGACCCGGCTGAGGTTGTCGGCCCACGCGCGCAGCTGAGCCCTCCCCTAGGCTCCGAAGCGGCAGCCTGCCAGGTCCTCCATCCTCTTTCTCGTCGCCTTCCAGGGGGCGCGCTCGTTGTGTAGGCCTTTCTGCATCGGCCCGAGGGTGGTGCGCCCGTCATGTTTACAGGGTTGCCGCTCGCGAGTTGCAGTCCCAATTGGCCCCACGTGCTCACCTCTCCTGAGAGAAGCGGCGCTGGGAGAGGAGGGATAGGAGGACCGAAGGGAGAAGAGCTGAGGAGCCGAGGGAGCAGTCGGAGGAGGTTGAGGAGGAGGAGGAGGAGGAGGAGGAGGAGGAGGAGAAGAAGGAGGAGGAGGCGGAGGCGGAGGCGGAGGCGGAGTGGGAGCAGGAGGGAGGAGGGGGAGGAGGAGGAGGAGGAGGAGGAGGAGGAGGAGGAGGAGGAGGAGGAGGAGGAGGAGGAGGAGGAGGAGGAGGAGGAGGCAGGAAGAAGGGGTGAGCAGGGGGAGGGTCAAAAGAAGGAGGAGGAGGGGGAGGAGGAGGAGGAGGAGGAGGAAGAAGAAGGGCTGCCGCACGGTGATAGGTTTTCCCTCATTCGGTAATGAGAAGCGAAGTACGGGAAACCTGGCCTCGGGGAGGTTTCGAAGGATTTTAGTCGGGAGGCCACGGCTCGGGGGGGCTCCGCCCCGAGGTCCCCAAGGGTCGTCGCTCGGGCTTCAATTCGTTTTTTCCGAATCACGGGGGAACCACCGACCCTCGCACAAGGGGTGCTCAGCGAGGGTCTTCGGGCTTCCCATAAATCGGGTTCCCCGAAATCGCCCCCCCAATCAGGGGAAACCAACTCTAGAACCGTTGAAAAGGGGCACTCGGCGAGAGTCTTCCCTTTTTCCACAGTTCGACGTATGGAACACTCGAGTGCCCCCGCTGAGTGCCCCGCTTCCGAGGCTGGTGGGTTTCGCCACAATTCGGGGGAGCGCCAATTTCGGGAAACCGGGGCCTCGACCCTCGGGGGGCAGCTAAAGGGAACCATCAGAGCATGGACCCCGTCATTCGCCCGCCCTCCGACTGGCGAGGCCCCCGTCTCCAGAGAGTCGCTCCCACAGAGACCCTCGGAGGAGGGGCACTCAGCGAGGGTCGCGACTTCTGGGAAGACCAAAGGCCCTCGCTGAGTGTGTCTTTTTCGCAGCTTTCGTCCCATCATTCTGATTTACGGGAAACCCAGCCAGACGATTGCCGGAGGAGGAGGGGGAGGAGGCGGAGGATGGTGATGAGATGGAGGATGCGGTGTTTTGTGCAAGGGACACCCCTGTCAGCAGCTGCCCGAGAGAGGAACAGGCCGTACCTATACGACCACCCTTCGGGTGAGAAGGAGGTTGTGACACCTGTCGATCTCACTATCAATATCACTTTTTGGGACACCACGGGACACCACATCGATCTCACTATCGATCTCACTATCGATCTCACGGTCGATCTCACTATCGATCTCACTCAATGGGACACCACGGGACACCTCGGGACACCACATCGATCTCAGTATCGATCTCAGTATCGATTTCACTATCGATCTCACTCAACGGGACACCACGGGACAGCCGGGACACCGCCCGGCCCAACTGGGACACCTCCCGGCCACCGGCGGACGGGAAACGGACTTTCGCTCCTACTGACACCTGGGACACCCGGGACACCGCCCGACCCAACTGGGACATCTCCCAGCCACCGGCGGACGGAAACGGACTTTCGCTCCTACTTCGGCCTAGCTACAGGAGGATCACGCGCAGCTTCGCCTCGCCCGCACGCGCGACACGAACACGAAGCCGAAACCGATTGCCAGGTGGGGGGTCTCCGTTTCACTGCGATCTCACCCCTTCACCTCCGATACGCTAAATTTCCGTTGGTTGTGATCCATGACGAACGGTTAATTGAATATGCATTTAACACATCGAATTATTCATCCCTCCTCATCGTATCATTTTCAGAGACTGAATATGGACTCGCTGAACCTTGCAGGTGGACTCTCCGAACACATGTATGTAGCCGTGCTGGTGGACTCTTCTCAGCCATCGGGGAGATAAACAGGCTTCCCAGTTGAGTTGCTCGTTTTTCGTTTGTTCTGCAACATCTTGAGCGTCCACATCTGGGATGTTTCTCAGCATAATCACCACCATCATCATCATCACCATCATCATCATCATCATCATCATCATCATCATCATCATCACCATCATCATCATCATCATCATCATCATCATCATCATCATCATCATAATTATCGCCGTCGTCATCATCACCATCATCACCATCATCACGATCACGACCATCAGCAGCAGCATCATCACCAGCATCATCATCTCCTCCTCCCCATCCTTCCTTCGCCGCCGTTTGGACTCAAGGGCGCCCCGTCCGATAGAGGCCGCGGATGGCGGACGCAGCCACCGAGCCCAGCCACTTGCCCAGGCCGGGACAGGCCGCTCGGCTGCACCGCCGTTCGGCTGTTCGCTCGCGGTGATTCGCATGTGTTCCGTACAGTTCGTCCGCTGCCCACGCACACCCGTCCTCGAAGAAGGAAGCGTGGCATGCAAATAAATGTTCGGAGGTTCGGGCGGGTTTCTTGGATCGGCCTCAGGCCCCCCTGGCGGCGCTTCCGGCGCCGCCCCTGGCGCGGTCCGCGCGCCAGGGAAGGCGGATCCAGCGCCGATCCAAAGAACCCGCGCGGACCTTCGTAAGTGTATGTTTGCTGGTTTTGTTATTCTAGCCAGTTCGCGAATGTTGCGCCGTCTTGCAGTTCCGCTCCTGCCCCCCGCCCTCCATCGACATGCAGTTCCTGTCCTCCCCTCCGCGCTCAATATCTTGCACGCCTCTTTTCGGCATGTGTACTCCATGATCCGAGCGAGCTTGTTGACGGTATGAAGCCGAGTTGCGAAGTGCATCCACGTGATTACCGAGCAGCCGTGGATCGTGCTTGGAAGTGCGTGGGAGCCCGAGCGGAGGGTCCGGCGGCCCAGTCAGAGGACCCCCGCTCCTTGCCCAACGTTCCTGACCATAGCAGCACGACGCCTGCACCGTCGCCGTGCCTTCCTCCCCTGCCGGTCCGTAGCCGTTTTGGCTCACGCCAGGCTCGCTTGCAGTTGCAGGGTGCGGGCGCCGTTCGTTTCCTCCTCCTCCTCTTCCTCCTCCTCCTCCTCCTCTTTCTCCTCCTCCTCCTCCTTCTCCTCCCCTCCCCTCCCCTGCCCGCCGCATGCCTCTCGAGCCCGGCGCGGTGGCGGCAGCCGCGTGCGGCGCGGGCCGGTTTCTGCCAGTGGCTTCGGCGCTGCGCGGGTGTTCGGTGTCCCTCGCGTGGAGGGACGGGCTGGAAGAGGTGCTCGGCGAGGCCGAGACGGTGGACCTGCGCAGCCAGAAGGTGGACGATGTTGGCGCCGTCAGCTTGCTTGGGAAGTGCCCTCGTGCCCGGTCGGTGAACCTCAGCGACTGCCGGCGCCTCACGGACTCCACGGCCGCGTCTTTGGCGCACGCCTGCCCCAAGCTGAGAGAGCTCAACCTGACCGGAAACCCGCACGTCACCCCCAAGGGCATCGACGAAGTGGTGCGGCACTGCGCCGCCCTGGAGTCCTTGTATCTTGCTGGGTGCGACAAGATACCCGAGCACGTCCTCCTGAAGAGGTACTCCAGGTTCTGCGACATTTTCGACGAGGACGAGGAGGGCCCGTGGGCCGCGTGAGGGACGGGGCCATGCCTGCACGCGCCGCCCAGGAGGTGGCATGGCGGCATCTGGCTTCCGAGCATTCCCGGAGGGAGCTTGGATCGTCTCCGTCTCTTCCTCTGCCCTCGCCCTGCGGCGGCGCCCCATGTTCGCCACGGACCTGCCCGCTGTGCTCGGCAAGGCCCTGCTGGCAGGACGTTTTGGCCTGCACGTGCCCGTCTCCTACTCCCCAGCTTCTCGCCATTCTGTTTGGCTGCTGTACCGCTCCCAGTTTTCGCCATGGGCCCGCCAGCCTGGGTGGGATAACCCGTGCCGGCAAGGTCCGCTGACCCGCGGTGTCCCATCCAACAGGGCAGCCCAGCAAGGCAGACAGTGGCCTGCGAGCCCTGGCTGTTCGACTGAAAGAGGAATTCTTGGTTCAAGAACTGGGTTCTGAGGGATGGGGCCCTGAGGATAGGAATGGACCCAAGGGTAGATTTACATTGTCGGAGGCACCCTCGTCCACAGGACCCCATCCCGCAGGACCTCAAGACCCCATCGCTGAACCACCGAAGGAGAGGCGGTGTTGCGGGAAAGGGAGCCCGAGCTTCTCCGCCGCCCTCGGCCCCTCGGGCCCTCCTCCCGGGCCCTGTGCGGTGGTCAGCGGGCGCTTCGGGACGGAAGCGTTGTGGACCAGTCCGACATCGTCAACGCTCAGGCATGCCTACAGTTGGACCGAGGCATAGGATCGAGGTCGTTCCGGGGACAGTGCCCTAATGTTTTTCGTGTTCGTTGGATGTTCTGGTTCCTCCTGGGAGAGGGTACCCTCGAGTGTTCTTCAGTTGGGAGGGCAGAGTGTCCCATGTTCTTGAAAGATGTTTTTCTGTCTTAGGTCCGACTGTATGGTGAGGAGGAATCGCCCCAAGTCGTTCCAGAGTGCTCTCACAGCGCCCCGCTCTGAAGCGGCTGCGGACGCGCCCGCTCGCAGAGATCCCCCGGTGGGTGTCCCAGTCCGAAGTCAGCGTCATGCGGGCCCCCCCCTTCTTTGACAGGGCTGGCGCATCGTCCCGTTGGCGGCCGCGGAGCCCGAAGTTGGCCCCTGGAATCCAAGAACGACGAGCAAGTTCCACCTGGATGTTTGTTCAAGACGCTGAATTCCATGTCTTTGCCCTCGATCTGAGGGGACAACCACCGCCTGCGGGTTCGATCTTCGGGGACCTCGGTAGGCGGCAGACATGGACATGTTTGGAACCTGACGGAGAGATATCCGCATCCGCCGCCTGCGACTGATTCACAGGCGGTGGTTGTGGGCAAATCCTTGCTTCGCACTCGATCCTCGAGGCTCGAGGGCAAAACTTGGCAGTTGGGGGCTTTGTCTCCCAGCAGCCCAGCCGGGGTCGGGCAGCTCGTTGGTCTGGCCCCCGCGGCCACGTGTGGTGGCCGTCTCGGGCCGCACGCTATTGCGGGTCCTTAGCTCGCTCGTGCAGGGGGGGCCCGTCTTTGACCCTCGGGCTTCCAGTTGGAAGGACATTGAGGCCCCGCCCCAGACGTGCTCGCGTCGTGAATTACTCACTGCGTGGAGCTCCCCATAGGTGGATCTCTTTAAAAAGATGGTTTGTATTTGGGATCTGTATGTGAGCGTCTACCCATATGATCTATATGTACATTTCATGCAGTAGGATCGTGTCATGGCGAGCATCAGTCTACGATAGTATTGATCTAAGGGCGCGTCAATGTGAGCGACGAGTACACGAGCGCGCAGCTCGGCTGTACATTCAACACATGTACACATGCACTCATACACATATGTTAGCGCATTTGCTGCCAAGGCAAAGGATTCCATCATGCCGCGTCCGAAGCACCAGGGAAGAGCACAGCAGACAAGTGCTTCAAACGGCACTTCGCGATAAGTACCTCAGCTTTAACCGTCCGCACTTCGCATCGGGCCTAGCTGGCAACGCACACAGAAGCCTTAAGCACATGGCGTGCAAAAGGCAAGTGCTACAAATGGCACCCTCGCGGTTTGCGTCTCGGCTTTCGCCGTCCGCACTTGGCATCGGGCCTAGCTGGCAACGCAAAAAGAAGCCGTCTACACTCGGCATCGGGGCGAGAGGCGAGTGGCACAGCGCGAATCACTACGCCCGTGACCTCATAGCTGCCAGTTGTGCCATGTCGGACCCTTTGTCGGCCCCTTTCCGCCATGTCCCGCGCGTCGCCCAGCGCCCTGTTGACGCCGTCGCCTTCGTTCGCAGCCGCGCTGGAATAAGCAGCGTACCCTTCCAGCACCTGGATATGGTTCTGTATCGTTTCGTAAACGGCGCCGTCATCCAGCAATTGAGATACGGCCGCCTCGGTCTCCGTGGGCGACAGGCCCAACTCCGTTGCTGCGAAGGCGCCCAGATCTGCGCAATTTGCTCCGACAGTCGAAACTCCGCCCACGGAAGCCAGCCATGCCAGAAGGCCGTCGAGCGCCCGAGCGAAACGCGTGTCTGCGCTGACAGCGGCAGCGCTTGCCCCCGAGGACATCGCAGTTGTCGAGCCCTGATTTGCATTAGCTGGCGCCGTTCCCCGAGCAGTTCGCAGGAAGACTTGTCGAACGTCGGCGGAACCGCGCCCGGCGCCTCGGATACCTCGTTGCCTTCCCCCCGTCCGCGGCGCTGTGGCAGGCATGGGCGTTTCCGACCGAAGAGGTGAGACTGCGTTCAGTGAATGTATAGACGCTGGGTCCGATGAGCGACCTTCCGTTCGAGCCAAGACGGCATCACGTGCATCTCGCGCGTTGGGGCGCTTCGCGACAATCGCGACGACGACGCCCCAGAAATGGCCAATCGGTGAAGTGAAGAGAGGGAGAGAGAGAGAGAGAGGCGATGGGGGCCGAGGTATTCTCATCTGGCGAAGGGACATTTTTGCCAATGCGGCCTGTCCGCCCGATCCGGTGGACGTACGAGCCGATGGAAGCGCGACGAAAACACAAAAAATGCGGCGGGGTTGAAACGCTACATGCGGGGGAAGGAGGGGGAGAACATGGAAGGCAAGGGAGGGTCAAAGAGGACGTAAACGAAATACGTGGAGCGAGATGGGCTAGGACGTCGCACAAGTGGTGTTTCTCGAGCCGCAAACATTCACTAAACACAGTGCGTATCGGGCCGATAAAGACAAGCGGCCGTCCGCACTTGGCACCGGGCCAACCTTCCGCTCGCACTTTGGCGCGAGGCTTGCAGAGCGAGGCAAGCACAAGCTGCACGGGAGGCGTCGGGCGAGCAGGGCGGGGCTCAGACAAGCTGCCGTCCGCACTTAGCATCGAGATTTGCTTGCCTGAGCGCGGGGAGAGAATAGAAACTAAAGCAATCAACTGGATCTGTTTGTTCTATGGCCGTAGTATGGTATCGGGCCGATGAGACAGGCGACCGTCAGCACGTGGCATCGGCCCAGGCTTGGCTGAGCGCGAAGACATGGTAATGGTTGAGCAGGGAAAACATAAGCCGTCCGCACTGGGCATCGGGCCGGAGAGATCGCGGGCCGTCATTCTTCCTCAGGCAGCGTTATCCCGCACTCCCCGTCAAGCAGGGCGGCTCTCGCCACCGTCGAGTCCCCAGAAGCCGCGAGGCGTCGAAGAGCGTGTTTCAGTGACTCTGGCGGACCTCATTCCAGAAGCCAGCGAGGGGGTGGCCGCACCAGCAACGTGTCCGCCATCCGAGTGGCGCGGGAGAACATCACGTGGAGGTTCAATCACCAGGTGTCATCGTCAATGCCTCGTCGCCCCTGAGGTTCCTGGCGCGCGCAGTCCATGGTCACTGCGGCGCGTATCGTTTGCCTTTTGCGAGGGCAGCACGCCTGCACGAGCCTGCACAGCCGCAGAAGAACATTCTGCGTCATCAGCTATTCCTCCACTCGCCCACCCGGGTGTAACAAAAGCGGCCTTCAACCAAGCAGAACACCCTGCCGTCCTGTGGATCAGTGGATCTGCCCCCTGAGGCCAAGCCCCCCCAAGGCCGACTCGGCCCCCGGAGGCCCGGGCGAAGACGCGACAGAGGTGCATGGAGGAAGCTCACAGGAGAGGGAGCGGAGGAGCGAGGGAGAGAATGAAACCAGCGCCCTTGAGGGTGCTGAAACCAGCGCCCCACCTGAGACATGCTCCAAATCTGCTCTGAAAGCAAAGGATGTTGAGCCACAAAACAAGCGAACCGCCTGAGACATCCCAACAAACTGGCCGCGAACGGGCCCGTGCCATACCCCCTGGCGGCTCCGCTTAGGGGTGCTGAAACCAGCGCCCCGCCTGAGACATGTTCCACATCTCTTCTGACAGCAAAGGATGTTGAGCCACAAAACAGGCAAACCGCTTGAGACATCCTCACAAACTGGCCGCGAAGGGCCCGTGCAATACTCCCCGGCGGCTCCCCGTAGGGGTGCTGAAAGCACCCCGCGCTGAGACATCCTCACAATCTGCTTTAAACGCAGACGGTGTTGGCCACTGAAGCAGGCATACCGCCTGAGGCATCCCCACAAACTGGCCGCGAACGGGCCCGTGCAATACTCCCTGGCGGCTCCCCGTAGGGGTGCTGAAACCACCGCCCCGCCTGAGACATCCTCACAATCTGTTTTAAACGCAGACGATGTTGGCCACCGAAACAAGCAAACCGCATGAGGAATCCTCACAAACTGGCCGCGAACGGGCCCATGCAATACCCCCTGGCGGCTCTCCTTAGGGGTGCCCCGCCTGTGGCATCTTCACAAATTGTTGTCAACACGAACGATGTTGGGCACCGCAACAGGCAAACCGCTTGAGAAGCCGTGCAATACCACTTTGGCGGCTCCCTTTAGGGGTGCTGAAACCAACATCACACCTGAGACATCCTCCGAATCCTCTGAACATGGATGAACGACTGCGACAGAGTCTTGGCATGAGTGAATCCGAGGGAGTATGAGTATGAGCGGGTCTGAATGTGAACAACTCTGAGTAGTACGAGTGCGAAGGAATCTGAATATGGACGGATCTAGGTAGGAGGAGACGAGAATGGAAGCCTGACGGAGGAGTCGGCGGCGTCAGAGCAATAACAAGAACCCCATCTTAGGATATGGGAAAAAAGTCGCGGCGGATGTCTTCCATAGTTTTCAGCCTCTGCGCGCTTTCACCAGGCCGCGGACCGTCTAAACACAACACAACACAGCCGGGACTTCCGAGGACCCCCAAACAGAAAACATCGGATGTCCGGTGAGAAGCCCCACCCTGTCGAGCCGATTGGCGAATTGGATTTTGTCGGTTTTCGACAGGGCGTCGCGGCCGCAGTTTTTTCAGGGCCTACGCCCGACGTGTCTGGTCCCGGTCGTTTCCACCGAAAGGTGTTTTGCAACGAGGCATTCTGTCCACACCGGGTGAAGTGAAGGCGACGGCACAAGGACCATTTCGGGTTCAAGAGGGGTTCGTTTCCGTTGCATTTTTGAGATCTACCATCTATGTTTGGGGAACCTGTTCGTGGCCACGGCTCGGCGTGTCGAGAAAAGGCCCCCCGTTCCTTCTTGAGCATTCCTCATGGTAGCACGATGACTTTATGCTGTACCGTCGCCACGGTCCGATCCGTCCGACATTTGTTTGTGTATGTATGTGCCTATGTATGTACGTATGTTTCTCATGGCCTTCGGCCCATCCCGCCACCGTGCCTGCGTTGTGGGTCGGAGTCCTCAGGGATGCTTCTTGGGGTCTCTTTGGAGCGCTCTGGGCCACTTGAGGGCAGTTTGGACACCTCTTGGGAGCATCTTGGGGGCAACTTGGGAGCCTCTTGGGGGCCTCTTGAGGCTTCCTGGGGGGCCTCATGGGAGCCTGAGGGCCTCTTCGGGGCATGTCTAGTCGCCTCGCGTGCATAAGAGGCTGGGTAAGTCTCGGGTAATTAAGAGTCCGGCGACAACCCGGGTTGTACGGTAGAGGGAAACAATTAGTGAACACCCCCCCTGCCCCCCAAACTCAAAGTTGGCACGCGGGGGGGAGAGGCTGCGGTCGAGGTGCAACTCGTCAGGCACACCGCCAACTCTGAAGATATTGGGGGAAGGGGGAGGCGTTCACAGATGAATGTGGAATGAGTGTTCGCTATTTTTTCCGAGGCCTGTATGGACCACCCGCCCCTCCCCCCTTGCCCCCAGGACGACCTGACCTTGTCGGCTGCGCAGGTCCGAAAGGGGGGTTGTTGCGCGCGGGCACGCGCGGGGCTGCCCGAGGCGCAAACGTTAGGTCATCGCCCCCCCCCCCCCCCTATCCCATTGGATAAACCAGCTTATTCTTTCAGGAGGGGAAAAAACACACAGACACAATTCATCGTCGATCCCCAAGAAAATATGGGAAAATATGGGAATTGGGAATTGGGCGGGAAGACAAAAACCCAGAAGAAATGGGAAAATGTGGGGGAACCTTTTATTTGTGTGTATTTATTTGTGTGTCCTGGGGCCCCTTGAATTTCGGCGGCCGAAAAACAGCTTACACATAAGTTCTTTCAGCTCTGCGCGGGCTTCTTGGATCGGCGCCTGGCCCCCCTGAAGGCGCCTCGAGCGCCGCCCCTGGCGCACTCCACGCGCCAGGGGCGGGGGGGCGAGCGCAGATCCCAGAACTCCGCGCGGACCGTCCGACGTTTTGTACGCATGACGTTCTGTCTTCCTACATCACCACCGAGAGAACACACACACACACACACACATCGCCCAGTAAATGCACCTCGTCGTCCACGGCCCATCCACACCGAGCTGCACCGCGCGGTGCCCACGCGCACAGGGTGGCACAGTGCAGGGCTGCACCTGAACGCTGTTTTGCTGGACTTCGGCTGTGCTTCGTTTCTCGTTCTGGCAGGGAGGTACAGGACAACGTGCAGAGCAAAACGACGGACAAAGCGAAAACAACACGAGAAACAGCGTCTAGGTCCAGCCCTGGCACAGTGCAGGGGTCACACAGAAACGCGGGGCGTCCCCCCTGGGCTATCAGCAGGGGAGTCGACGGCCTCCGCGCGTTGCGCTTCGCGTCTGGGCCAGAGGGGGGCTCTCCTCCCGAGGGGGGCCGGGCCACCGTTCCCGCCTGCTGCCTGTGGAAGCCCATATGGCGCGCGCACGAGAATTTCACGATCTGAGCGAGCTCCGCCTCCCGGGGCTTCTCCCCCCCTCTCCGCGCCTCTCCCGCGGCTTCTCTCCCCCTCTCCTGAGAATTTAGTTTATTTTGTTCTGTGCACGTGCAACTGCGAGTTTGTCTTGCAGGTGCGAGCTTTGTCCGCCGACTCTGGCGGCAATTGTCTTGCAAATTAGCCCCGTACCGTGACCCGAACGCCGCTTCCGCTCCCTGTTCGTTGCCTCGGAGCCGCTGACCAAAAAAAGTGTAAGCCCATATGGCGCACGCGCACAAGAACTTCACGATCTGAGCGTGCTCTGCCTCCCGCGGCTTCTCCCCCCCTCTCCGCGCCTCTCCCGCTCCTGCTGTGCTTAGTTTGGCCCCGAGTCGTCCCTGGGCTGCCCCGACCGCGTCTTGATTATAAGTCGGCGCAACAAAATGATCCTCCCACGGGGGCCAACGTGACAGCGCGGATCCCTCAAGATCTGGGCATTGCAGTTTGTTCACACAGGGCGTTTTCGCCCAGTGTCGGGCCCCAGGATCCTCGCATATCGACTTGGTTCGAGAAATGCCACAGGGCGACCCCACGTCTTGCCTTTCTCAACACGGGCCCCCTAGAAGTCCCAACAGTTTCCCCGATCCGTTTTGTTCATACGGGGCTGTTTCGGGGGGCCGCCCCGGATCCCGCAAACCGTGAGGCCCCCAGAGGCAGAGAGCAACGAAAGGCACCCGTATTGATGTTTTCGAGGCGCCTGGATGCTCGAGAAGATGTTCGCGCTCCGCACACCGCGAAGTTCGCCATGAAGCAGGGGGGCCCTGACTGAAACGGAAACCGAGATTGTTTCGCCGCTGTGGCCTCCCTGGGCCCTCGGCGGCCTCCCAGACCGACGCAGAGGAGCAGGACGACGCGCTCCCCGGGGGAGCGCCTCGGGGCGCCAGGGACCCCGCAGCCCAGGCTTCCGCGTGCAGCGCGCGCGGCCTCTGGGTGCCCCGCGCCCGAATCCAGCCATGTGTGCCTGCAGCTGCCTGCTGCGAGTGCCCCCTCGCCATCGCTCCGCGGCCGCCCTCCGTCCTGGCCCTCTCTCGTGCTGCCTGGCTGCTCCGGCATGCTTCGCCCCAGCCACTCGAGCGCGCGAGCGGACTGCTTCTGCCGCGCCGCGGCGGGAGAGAGTGTCTCCGGCTGCTTGGTCTGGTCTTCTTCCCCGTCCTCGGTGCCCCCCCGCCCCTCTGCCCTTTGCCCTCCCATCGTCCCTCGGCGTCGATCCCCTCCGCCCTGCCCGCTCCCTCCCTCGTCATCCGTCCGCCCCGCTTTCTGAGCCAGCTCCGGATGTCGCATACGCGCACGCGTGCGCATCCTGATGGAGCCTGCCCGAGGAGCCTCGTTCGATCCCGTCTAGTCGGGGACAGGATGGGGTAGAAACGACGAGGCGCACGCCGCAGCCCAAGTGCGACGGGCCAGGCTCTGGCAAGCTTCCAGGGTGAAAGCTATGGCGACGAATACCTCACACTCGCGGAGGGGGAGCACGTGATGCTGCTGAAGTGTTCAGAGGAGGACGGGTTGGGACGGGCACGAGTGAATCATCTCCACACGTTAGCAGATGGAAAGCATCTGGGAATGAGTCGCTTACATCGACGTTGCGACAATTGATATTATGGATTCTTGTTGATGCGCCCGGCTGCGTGCAACGCTTGCAAAACGATCTGCCCGCGACAGCGGCCCCGAGGGGGGCGAGGGCACGGGAGGCGTTGACCCCCCCACCCCCTTGGAAGCAGAGCGCTACACCCGTCCTGCGTGGAAATAACAAGACCCCTGGTTAAAACACTGGGGGCCATCGTGTGAGCATTAGAAATCCCAGGATCGCTTGGTTCGGAAGAGTTCGTGATGAAGTTATATGCGACCAGATTGAATTGGCAGGAGCAGGATCCCGTTCGGTGGGACGTCTAAACTTGTGTTTGTTGCGATGCGGTTTTGATATTCTATCCCGTTTTAGATATAGAATATTCCACATCTTGATGTAATCCCGGACTTCGGACTCCTGGATCTTTGCTCCGGCTGTTTCTGATTCGGCCCGCTAGGATTTTAGGGGAGAATTGGGACCAGTTCGGTGCGGTTGGAACAAGGGCCAGCCTCCGCCCGCCGGCTCGCGCCGAAATAACGGACGAATGCCATGCCATCTCGACGCTGTCATGACTTGCCACGCGTTTCTGTTGCGTTGCGGCAGTGCTTCGGGCCCCGCGCGGCGAGCACCGAACACTTTATATATATATATATATATATATATATATATATATCACCCCGAAACAAACAAAGCTCCAACTGATCGTGTTATCCTCATCCTTCTCCGTCTCCTCCTCGTTATCCCATCCTCCTCCTTCTCAGAAACTGAAAACGACTCTCCTGGGCTCGTTTGAGGAGCACGTCTCTGAACGTAGGGGCCTGAAAACGCTGTGTTGTTTCAGGTGTTTCTGTTTTTTTTTATGGTTTTTCTGATTTCTGGCAGAGACTACGCAAGTTGGCTAGTCTCTCCCAGGAATCCGAAAAACCAGAAAAAAAACAGAAAAACCTGAAAAACACAGCGTGTTCAGTCCCTCTCAGCTAAGGGAGGAGGAATGTGAGAGGATACAGGAGTGATGCGAATGAGCGGAGGCCGAAGCGTGTGAGGGTGTGCCGAGATTGAGTTTGGGCCTTCTCTGAACGTAGGGGCCTGAAAACGCGGTGTTGTTTCAGGTGTTTCTGTTTTTTTATGGTTTTTCTGATTTCTGGCAGAGACTACGCAAGTCGGCTAGTCTCTCCCAGGAATCCGAAAAAACAGAAAAACCAGAAAAACATGAAAAACACAGCGTGTTCAGCCCCCTCTACGCTAAGGGAGGAGGAATGTGAGAGGATACAGGAGTGATGCGAATGAGCGGAGGCCGAAGCGTGTGAGGGTGTGCCGAGATTGACTTGGGGCCTTCGGTAGAGGCTCATCTGCGTGGTCACGGAACGTTTGAGGGGTGCGCCGAAGAAATTCCCCACGCTTCCCCTCCCATTCCAAACAACAGCATGGTTAAATGCAAGTGTTGCCTTTTGTGCAAAATCGTAACGTCACGACAGATCAAAAGCAATATGCGTATCCGCGCACATCTCGCCCGGGCACTCCCGGCACGTGTGCCCAGCGTCTCGCAGCGCGGACAGCATTCCAGAGATAAGCTTCACGGGTCATATGTGGCAAGCAAAAGGGCTGCGCATCGGCGTGCGCATCAGCTGCAGCAGATACTACTGCGCTCGGTTCAATCAGAGGCCGAACCCTCGCCCACTTGCGGGAAGGACCACTCGTCGCCTGAAGCGGCGGCCGCGCCCTCGGCCATCGCCGCGGCGATATCCTGCGAGGAGACGTCGGCGGCTGGCGGGCGCGCTGGGGACAACAGGTCGATGCTCGAGCCGTGGGCCTCCCTCCCGCGCTCGATGATACTCTCCTTCATCGAGTGCATGGCCCTCTCGCGCTCCTCCTCGTCCATGGTGGACACGTCGGGGCAAGCCAAGCGCTTGACGCCGCGCTTAAGCGGCTGCGGCGAGAAGATGTCGATCATGTGGCCGTGAAAGGCCACCGCGCGATCGCAGAGGCTTCGCTGAACGGCGCGGCAGACATTCAGCTGCTCATCGATATCACGCGTATCTTCGAGAACGGGGCACGAGGCGCTGGTCGGCTGACCAGCGGCCGCTCGCGGGAACCATTCGCCCCCCTGCCTGCCGCTCGGCGGCTGCGTGGCCACCTCTGGGAAGTTGTATCTCGTGGGCGCGTCCTGGTCGAAGGGCGTGGGGTCACGGACCGTCGATGACTGCCCGGGCTCCTCGCCCCGCGCTAACTTCCTCATGGCGGCCTCGGCCCACCTCACGTGCTGGTCGTAGCCGGATGGAACGCGAGTCTGGTCTTTCTTAAATGCTTTGAGGATGTCGTACGTATCGGGCGTGAAGAGATTTGGCTTCGCGGGCACTGGCCACGGAAAGCGTCGTGGATGCCGCCCGAAAGTACACCCAGTTCGGCGAGAGGAGCACGACGTTTGACCTCGCCATGTACGCCTTCACGTCCGCCATCTTGCAGTTGCACTGTTTTTCGCCGATGAATTTGCAGTCGATGATCTTGATGAAGTCACTGAATGCTACCTCTTCCTTCTCCCTGCTGACGGACTTGACCGTCGCCTCAAACCACTCGTTATACGGATTGACACAGATCTGGCGGGACTGGTTCTGCTCGAAAGAGGCGCCGCCCCATCTGTGCAGCGCGCGGAAAACTACGAAACGCCAAAGGCCCTGGTAAATTTATTAACGTAACTTGGACGCGTTGAAACAATCTTGTTTCCAAGCATTGTAGCTTTCCGCGCGCCGCCGCCTCGCCCAAAGCAGCGCGTCTTCCTCGGCGGGGTCGAGGAAAGCCTTGATCTCGTCGGGGCCCCTCTTGGCCAGCACGGTATCGTCTGCGATGGCGGGCTTGAACATGGTCCCAGGCTCCAAGCGCGGGGGGTCGATCTTCTTCGCCGTGATGACGCTCGGGCGGAGGTCAGCGCGGCGGTGCTTCTCAATCTGGTAGGCAGAAAAAGCGAAGCCGATCGTTTTGGATGCTGTGGATTTGCCGGCCCTGCTCTTTCCGATCCACATGGTCCCATTGACGTCGCGGCCCCTAAGGATGGGGGTGACGATGCGGTCGAACAGGAACGGGTCAAACCGCTTGAGAGTGACCGCCCAGCGCTCGAGTGTCCTCGCGCCCTCACCCTGCGCCACGCCGCGTCGGGCGGCAAGACGTGGCCAACGTGGCCAGGCATGCCGCGCGGCACGGAAGCGCATTCGAAAGCCATGGGTAGAAGCCTACCGCGGAACACTTTGAGGGGGTCTGAGCACCTTGCAGAGGCCTGGGCGCCAGAGGCAACGGGAGGCACCATCAGCAGCGCGAGCATATGCGGTATGATTGCTGTCCATGCACATTTCTGGTTGCGCAATAAGTCAATGTCAAGTGCAACTGAGATGTGGGTTTTCTGGGGGCGGGGGTGGGAACCCACTTTTTGGGTTACCTCATTTTCCTGCCTTGGACCCGCACATGACAATCATTACTCCTCTGCCTCTCTCCTGCCCCCTGCCCCCTCTCCCTCTCCCGCCCTTCCGCGCCGCCCTTCTGGGCCCCTTTGCTGAGTCCCTTGCTGGGCCTCCTGGCTGGATCTCCTCCTGGGTCCCCTGCTGGGTCCCTTTGCTGGGCCCCCTGCTGGGCCCCCTCATGGGCCTCCACGGGAGCATCCAAAAATGGACGCCCCTTGCACCGCAGAAGGCGCGGTTGATTCTCACTGATTCTAGGTCGCCCAGCAGCGCTGAGCTCCCTCAAGGAGAGCGTCGTCGCGCTTGGAGCCCTTCCAGGGGACGCCCAGCGGAACTGCGCTCCCTCAAGGAGAGCGTCGTCGCGCTTCGGGCCCTGTCCAGGGGACGCCCAGCGGCGCTGAGCTCCCTCAAGGGGAGCGTCGTCGTGCTTGGGCCCCCCTCCAGGGGACGCCCAGCGGCGCTGGCTCTGGTTCTGGCTCTGGTTCTGGTTCTGGCTCTGGTTCTGGTTCTGGTTCTGGTTCTGGTTCTGGCTCTGGCTCTGGCTCTGGTTCTGGTTATGAGCTCCCTCAAGGGGGGGCGTCGTCGCGCTTCGTGCCCTTCCAGGTGACGCCCAGCAGCGCTGAGCTCCCTCAAGGGGGGCGTCGTCGCGCTTGGGGCCCTTCCAGGGGGCGCCCAGCGGGACTGCGCTCCCTCGAAGAGAGCGTCGTCGCGCTTCGGGCCCTTCCAGGGGACGCCCAGCGGCGCCGAGCTCCCTCGAGGGGAGCGTCGTCGTGCTTGGGCCCCCTTCCAGGGGACGCCCAGCGGCGCTGGCTCTGGTTCCGGTTCTGGCTCTGGTTATGGTTATGATTATGGTTCTGGCTCTGGTTCTGGATCTGGTTTTGATTATGGTTCTGGCTCTGGTTCTGGTTCTGGTTCTGGTGCCCCTCCAGGGGACGCCCAGCGGCGCTGAGCTCCCCCAAGGGAAACGCAAGTGTGTATGATTGCTTCTGCGTTGCGGCGGGTTTGCCTCTGACTGTCGTTCACGCGGCGACGGCATTGAGCTCAGTATCTCCAGACAGGGGGAATATTGTTTAATATCCCCCTATATTGACAGGGGGACCCTTTTTCACCGCAGATGACGATGAGGAGGGCGCCCCCATGCGGAGGAGCAGGAGGAGGAAGAGAATGATGATGAGGAGGACCCCCCCCATCTCCCCACTCCGTCGTTTGGGATATATATATATATATACATACATACGGCGTGGTAGGCGACGCCTTGTTTTTTCCGACGCGGCAACGCGGTGCTTGTGGGGCGGAGGTCGCGGCCATGGCGACGCAAGTACAGCGTCGATGCACGGGCGCGACTGCAACCATGGCGGATGATGCGCGGCGTTGAAACGCAATGCGATGACAAGGCAAGACTATGAGGATGATGATGATGATGATGACGATGATGATGCTGATGATGATGATGCTGATTATGATGATGATGATGATGATGATGATGA